TTACAAGGTCACCTTCCAACTGTTGTTATGACAACCAGTAAGTTAATCTCACAGGACGTCCTAGCGGCCATATCATTATTTAGAAGTGTTCCAAAGAAATCAAATAGCGGCCATATTGATGTTCCAAGCAAATCCTGTGGGATTTGAAAGCTCACTTTGAGCACCGATTGATCACGTGAGTGAACTGCACTCTACAGTGGTTGCATGGATGCGGGTGAAAGCCGCTAATACGATTTGAAATGGATTTTCAGCAAGTGGATTCTGGATTCCCTTTTTAGCGGGATCCTGGATTCCAAAAGCTGGATTCTGGATTCCAGAGCCCAGTATTCCGGATTCCACAAGCAAAAATTTCCTGGATTCCGGAATCCGGATTACCTTACATGGGGTGATGCGTGGGTTCATTTCCCAAAAGAAGTAGCCGTGGAGCACAAAACGTGACACATTAACTGGTTCTTTATTCACTTTAACCACCACTTACCTCCCATTAGTCTCCCAGCCACCCTGGGTACAGCATAAACAACTGCGGCACGAGCTGAAATTTAAATTGTGATTCTGTCATTCATAGATAGGGTAAGTCATAAAATTGAACAAGGCCCAGGGACTAATTGAGTTGGCAAGCCTTATTACTACTCTTCTGGGCATTCCCTGAAAAATTGCTTAATTCTACAACAAACTGGTCACATCACGCCTCAAGACTTCAAAAGATGGTAATTAGATGAAAGCTTACATCCATGCAACAAGTGAACGGCATGAGGCTGTCTTGTTTTTCACCCAAGACCTAGTAGAACGGCCCAGGCAATGTCGAACAGCAGACCTGGTTCGATTTTAATGATCGAGGAACTGCCATATTATATATTAATTGCTCTGACATGTCGTCATTTTGATCAAATTTATATGCTTAACTCATAGAGACATAACCACGTTACTCTTCAGCTAAGATCAGTGAGCGGGCTCATTCTTAATCGATCTTGCCAGGGTAAATTACAACCGTGCTTCTCTAAATATGCTTTCGATTTTAGATTGCCAAAACTCAATGTCTGAACCATTATCATGATAACTCTAGACCATTCTTTTGAATCGATTTTATTGCAACACCTAAGTGTACTTTTTTGATATCTTCCAAAATTTGATTCAGAAACCTGGACCTGACGGATTTATTGAAAGGGACGATGAAAACTTCTAAACAAACGGTTTTTCAGGGGATTCACGGTTCTTAAAAAGTTAGGAATAACAAGTACATCCTCGACCTAATTATGAGCTACTATTAATTTTGGCCTTAAGTTCGTTGCTCGCGTCTCAAGTTACCAACAAAATGTACTTGTGTGCATGTGAATCATTCGAACTCGGTCTTATTCACAATTAACACATGCCAACCCTAAGGAATCAAAGAGAGACTCTCACCTTGACTTCTTTCCTCAGCTTCCTTTCTTTGTCTGTCTCTGATGTCCTCTTCCTCCAGTTTCTTTTCAAATTCCTCAACTTCCCGAAAGAGTTCATCTTCTCCCGTTTCCCTCAAAATCTCTTTCAAAATGTCAAGGGAGGCAGGTCCTAAACGGTTGTTGCTTTCAAGTTCCTCGAACAGGACGCGAATACTCTCTATTCTTCCCACTCTATCCTCCGCCAGATAAGGAGTGCAAACGTTGATCAGTCGTTTCAGAACATTTAACTCGTTGAGTTTTAGAATTACCTTCTTTAGAATGAAATGGTAATTTTTCCTCTTGATCTCGAAGCTTTTTATTTCTTCGATTAGGGCCCATTTCTCTATTCCCCTCAAGAGTTCCTTCAGTACCTCCAGGTGATCGATTCCTAAATTATTCTTAGTCTCTAGTTGTCTGAGTAAGGTAGCAGCATCTCCAATGTTGTTTTCACTTCCCTCGGTTATAAGCCCCTCGCAAAGCGAAAGAAGTTTTTCGCCTTCAGTCTGCCAGTCGATCCCTTGGCTAACTTTGAAGCGCAAGGTACGGTATTCGATTTTAGACATAGAAAATGGTAGTTAAGAACACCCTAAAGGTGGAGATGGCATTTCATCAGTCACAGAATATTGGGGAACAGCGAAATCACGGGAGCTAAATTTAGTCCGATATCGGGTAATTATCCACATGACTACAAATTCCTAGTGATCAGATTGCATGCAAAAATCCCGCGACCTTTGGCGCCTGTTATCTTAACTTAGGCCATAGTTATATTTCTTTTTTCTGATTCAGAGTCACCTGAGGTTTTTTCGGAGAGAAGGTAGCGCGGGATGTAGTCAGTTTTAACCATTAAAAGTACTTAGCAGCTTGCTGATAGCGAATTGGGTGACGTGTGAACAATCACCTACCTCAGACTGTGAAGAAACATTTAAGCTAACAGACACTAAAATAGAATTAGTGAAATAATGATGCAGTATGTGATGTAAAATCAATAGAACTTACGCATATCTTGTGCGTCCGTTGTAGTTTCCGGCGATTTCTGCCGTTTTAAGCTTTGGCATCACTGTTATCCCTGTCATAATTGACAGAAATTGCTAGAAACTACAGGACTTCGTGTTGTCAAGTTCTACTGATTTTACGTGCAGAATGTTATGTTTCGAAATATTTATCGTTGTAAACCGACCGTATTTCGTTCCCCATACTATTTTTTTTAACGCGTTCAAATTCTTAGCGCTTCCTCTCGTAACTTGACACTGAGACGTGAGATGTGAGCTTGAGCCGCTTGTGATATACCGAAAACGAATGATAACTTTGCAAATATTGAATTGAAATTGAATCGAAAAAGTCAAGCCTAAATAGGAAGCCTTGCTTTGCCCACAAAATTCGAAGTCTAAGAATATTTTTTACTTTTTAATATGGCCAAAAATTACCTCGCTTATCATATAGTTTTATCAGAGGTGCACGAATTACCTTTTTTCTGAGAAGGGGTTTACGAATCATCATGTGTTGACGCTTCTTTATTTTCCTCTTAAATGACTAAGATTTGAGAAGTGATTCAAAATTTATCTGGCAGTACTTCTCTTTTTTTTTTTTGCTGTATTTCAACGTTTTCTCCTAGTATGTTCTCCTATCAATTAATCATTCTGGAGTAACTTTTTCCAGGGCATCTGTACCAAATTTCACCCCTTGTGAACATTGTCTCTCATGAAATTGGCGTTGGATTAGAACGAGTGCATAGAAGGAGGCGCGGTGGCCTAGTAAGTGGTGTATTGGATTCTAGATGAAATGGTCTGCCTTCGAGCTCTGCTTGGGTGATTATATTGTATTCTAGGGCAAGACAATTCACTCTCATAAAGCCCCATTCTACCAAGGAGTATAAACTGGTACCAGTAAACGTCTGGGGAAAATCTAACAAAATGCCTGAGGTAACCTGTGATGGATCAGTATCCCGTCCCAAGGGGAGAGGCAGCATCCCCGTTCACTGCAGTGGGAAGGGACCTTCTGTAGGTGATGGAAGTGAGAGGTACTTGGCTTGTAAGACTTTAATCCTAAATTCACCACTACAATTCAACAAAAGGGAATCCACCACCTCATTGATGAAATTAGAAATAAGGATAAGCTTCTTTCTTACACATCTTAGAATAAACAGACATGTTATCTGACATGGCCTCTAAGGTAGCTCAAAATGGTGTTGATGCCTTCAAACACCAATTTGCTGATGGACTGATGAAACTCTCAGTTTAATAAGACTATAATACAAAACTGGATGACTGCAAACAAAACTTGTTTATAAAATGGTTTTATTTAACAAGAGAATATAGGCTAAGCTTAATGCAAAACAATTTTATTGTTGTCCAGTAGGGATGGTGTGATTCTTGAGATCTTCTTTTAGTAAACTTGCATGTAACCCCTAGAGTAATAAATAGGAAGGTTAGTATTAAAAACTGTTCAGAAATATTTTTTAGTGCAAAGTATAATTTGATTTCTGTCACTGGATGTTTTTAACTTCATGAATGATAAATGAAGCCATAGGAAATAACTACTGTGTACTGGTGGATGCAGCTTTAACCCTTTATCCCACTACTACAAGACAGAATTATTAAATTAATATAACAGACAACATGAGAATAAACTAAAGATTAGTCAGGAGATTACAAGGATGCAATACCTTTCTCCAAACTAACATGAACTGTATTGAGACAGACCCCTATCCACAACCCCCCAAAAGCAAACAAGGGACACAGAAACCTTTTAGCTTATGAAAAAGCATGACATTAGCTTTGTGTAGGTTCCTTAAATTAAGTGTGTGTCTGAGTCAATTTTCCATAACAAGATTTCAATTGAAGCATTACATACTTCCTCTATGGAGGCCTACCCACTTAATAACCTGCCTAATCCCAGAAGTGATTAGGATGTACATGTGAAATCTCTTTACAATATAAATGCACTTCAGATTTAACTTCAATTTGTTAAACCTGCAATTTATCTTGAAGCATAGGTTAGACTGTTTAAAAAAAAAAAAAAAAACCCTTAGATGCCTGAGTTTAATCACAATCTGTAATTCAATCATTTTTATTACATCTCTCAGATGCCACATATGCTGTGATTGTTAATTTACTGGGTTTAACTGTGACCACCACCAAGAATTTTCATTTATTTTTCTATTCCCAAATCTTTCATTTATTACTACAGGTTTTTAACCTTGGTGGGAAAAAGGAAATTCTAAATCATTAATTTTCCTAACTGTTCAACTTGTTAAATCTGAACAAAAATTTCAAATTGACCCCATTTGCTCTTGATGTGAGTTATTCATTTACAGCTGTCCCTCATTACTTAAAAAATTGTTTTCCAAACTTGTCATGCAAAGCAGAGATATCTTGCTGACTTTGTCTTCTGTATTTTAAGCAATCAACCCCCTATGAGGCAGTGAGGAGGGGAGGAGTAAAAACTGGATCCTGGACTATGAACAAAGGGTTAGTAAGGGGTATGCATTCACCAGAAATAGCCAAAATCATATACATAACTGACATAACAGGCTAATACCTGGTTAGTAAATCTAGCAGTAAGTAAAAAAAAAAAAAGTGATACTCACGGCAGTTTCATTCTCATGAAAACTCTGCATGTAAAGAATGACACTAGGACACAGACAAAGCCCAGGAACAGCAAGAGAAATCTGTTAAGTTTAGACATGCCAACAGCATTTGATTTATCCAGGATAATGAAGCCTAATCCACCCATTGAAAACAAAAAACTTGATGCCAGGCCTTCCATGATGTACTGACCGTTTACACGGTAAGGCATGAAAGCAACCTGGGAAGGAAAAGGAACACAAGAAATTGCTTTATTAACCATGAGTGCTTATGATAAGCTTACTAAACATTAATAACAGAAAAAAAGCAAACAAAAAATTTCTAATTTTTTTACAAGTCATTTGGTTTCTGAGAAGCAGGAAAATGTTTTGCAGGCTTCAGAAAATGACCACAGTGGTCAAGCACCTGTGCATGTGTGAATGTAGCAATGACTAGGTGACCTGCTTTCAGGGTGTCAGAACAAAGTAGTTTCACAAAAGTTACAAATAACTGCACAAGCCAGTTAGTCAGGGTGTTTCAGAAATGTATACCTTTTTGGGAAAAGCTCAAAACAGAATGGTTAATCAACAGGATACCCATATTTGGGTAAGCTTTGTGTCCAAAAGTGTTCCTTTTCACTAATTTTCGTTTCCTTTAACATATTTCTAAGGACAATTTAATTTTCTTTTGCTTATTTTGCAAAACCAAGAAATTTTGCACAGAAAATTGGATTAAAATTAATCCCCTCACACGTATCCTATGTTTGACCACAGCATCCAGGGCATGTACTAACCGGTTTACTGTGACCAAACTCATCTGTTGTGCTTCCCACACTGGGTGGTTCCACAATCACATCATAGATGATACCTGGGAGACAACATCAAAGATCCATGAGAAGTTTTAAGGCACTTTACAATCAAATGTTAACAAATCTAGTCTTTTTTTTTTCATTCAGGATCATACATGCAAGGAAAAAGGAATCAATAACAGATTTTGTCAATTAAATTAAATATGTCTCGTTATACTCGACATGTGGCAATGCACATTATCGCTAAGTGAGTGATCATTCTCGATGCCTGTCCCAGGGCACTGTTTGATCATTAGTTCCGAGATACATTACATGTCACGCTTTTGAGTGCCACGTATCCCTTAGTTGGGACCGATCTACTTTAGTAAACAAACCCACATGTTATTTTCTTTAGCTTGCTATCAACATGCAGTTTGCAGGAAAGCTTAAAGTTAGAGGAGAATTCTGACTTTAGAATCTAAAATCATGATCGACTCTTATCTCTGATAATTTTTTTTTTTTTGCTTAGCTGGTTGGCTTGATTTTGGATCCTTTCGAGGTCGAGGCATGTAACAAGAAACTTATTCGGACAATTTACCTCCAGTGACCAAGAAATACGACAAGAGAACAAAGGCGAAGACCACCATAGCCGATGGTGGTTTTACCCATCCTGGCTTCTTCAACTTGAGGTTAGGGACTTCTAAAATGTGAAAGGGTATCCCATACAAAGCCTCCATTTTGAAAAGAAAGAAGAGAAGAGAGAGGGGTATAAAAACAAATTTGATTGGTCCAACGCTTTAAGTTATCATCCAATTATAGCTGGTGTTTTATTATGGTCTGCCTTGAAGCTGTCCGTGGTGACCTGAGAAAGAATTTAAATTCTGGGATCTCATTGGTCAATAATATTCAAACGCCGCTATTTTCAAATACAAATCTGCGGAAGCACGCACTTGGCCTTCATCTTGGGAACGCTTCGTAAAGGTTTGTCAACATCTCTTTTATTGTTGAATATCTAACTATCTTCTTTTTGCCACGATTTATCATTCATACCTTTTACGTAACTAAGGCTTGCAGTCGGTGGTCGTTATAGTTTTCGTTTCAAATCAGGAGAACCTCCTTCGCCAATGATAAATGGCATTTAATTTTTTTCCGTTAACCATCGCCTTTTGTGGACTTTCGTTTCAGCCAGCCGAATTCCAACCGTAAACTTCGATTTCTCGATGTATAGGTTCACTCGTTAGAATTGAAGACCCTATAAGCTATGCATGCAAGCTCGATAAGTATTATCCCTTCTGACAAAGTTATTCGCAACTACAGTTTAGGAATACAACTTTAGCACACTTTGAAATGTAGATTTCAGATTTTTTAAAGTAGCATTTATTGACTGTTGCATCGATTTTGCAGGAAAAAACAAATTTTGCTTTTCAACGGTATGTCTTTTGGAAAAATAGCATCCGCTCCTGCGATGGGGAGCTACACTGTAATTTGTCGCGCGCACGTTTTATGGCTGAAGTTCGAATATGCTGTAGATCACGCTGATACATACACTGCGTATGCTTGCGATCTACCACAGGGATGGCCGTTCAACAAGATTGCAAACACGCGAAATCGATATTTAGCGCACAATTTATCGCAGAGGCTGGCGAAAAGCGTTATACTTTCGGTCGAATTAAACCACTCTACGTGAAGTTACCCTTACTATATGTGCACGACAAAAAACAATTATTTGTGAAGTTGTTAGATGTTAGTTCACCCTAGATTTGACCTCTTTTTAGATTTTAAGTGATTGAAAAAATTGATGCATGTGTAATTCCGTTTTAAGTATGTTTTTACTGATTTGTTATCTTGCTTTGTAGGTAGGTTTCTCTGGATTCAGGGAATCGAAAACACAATTGAGAATGGGATCCAAAACTGACGAAATGAAGATGTCAGAATTTACCAAGATAGAAAAGATTGGGGAAGGTAATGAAACAGCTGTTTGATGAAAGAAGTTTAAACGGGAGTTACAAAATGATGCTTAAAGAAAACTTTTTTGCTTATCTAGCTTTATTGTGGCTAAGATGTGACTTTTAAACTTATTGAGGGGTTTTGGTATGCTTTTCTGTAGCCTGATCTGGAGAAGCATCAGTGATGCAACATTACCTATCAAGTTAGCCAATTAATACGCTCAGGGCTTGAATTCTTATCCTGATTCCATGTGTTGCAATTACAACATTGTAATCACTGATCTACATGTAGACGTGACCCACCTCAAAGGAGAGCACTCTTTTTGATAGCAACATATGAGATTTAAGTTTTTTTATATCGCAGTTGTCATTTTGAAATTTACCTTGCATGCAAACTCTGTCATAGGCACATATGGTGTTGTGTACAAAGGCCGCAATAACAGGAATAACAAGCTGGTTGCATTGAAGAAAATTAGACTTGAGCTAGCTGATGAAGGAATTCCAAGCACAGCAGTGCGTGAAATTTCATTGTTAAAGGAACTGAATGGACACCCCAATGTTGTCAATCTAGAAAATGTTCTACATGAAGATTCTAAACTATATTTGGTGTTTGAATTTCTACTGTGTGATCTTAAGAAGCACCTGGACTCAACAAAAGGATCGCTAGACCATATGTTAATCAAGGTATGCTTATGATAGTTTTCAGTACCAAATATGCATGTATCATTCAGCTGAAACTGACAATTGTTGTTTCACTAATGGAGGCAATGGGCCTTCAGTGTATTCTTAGATGGCCTTTATATGAGTACAAGTGCATAAGAGTTCCCAAAATAAAGTTAACAACATCAGTAGGGACTGCTTTATTATTTATTGGTAATATTTACCCATGCTGGCCAGTTCAGTCACAAGCTGGTTTGAATGGCGCCAGTGCTGGATGATGGTAGCATTCAAGTCAACATTGCTGAAGTCAAATTAATTTCAAGTTTTTGTCTGAAAAGATGATGGTCAAATTAAAACTTGCAATAGCAGAAAATGAAAAATTCAAAATTTTATTGGGTGCAATGATGAAACCAATGAAAATAATTTTCTAAGATGGAATGTATGATAAGAGAGAACAAATGAGTGATCTAATGTGCAACTTGTGTTATTTTTCTAATATTGTGAAATGTTGGACTGGTGAGGTGACTTGGACCGGTACATTGAAGAATAAAACCATTTGATGTGACATGTGTAAAATAAATTAATATCTTACATTGATTTTCCTACAGAGCTACCTTTACCAAATCACAAATGCCCTCTACTTTTGCCACAGTCGCCGAATCTTGCATCGTGATCTGAAACCCCAGAACCTTTTGATTGATGAGCATGGGCTCATCAAGTTAGCTGATTTTGGCCTTGGGAGGGGGTTTGGAATCCCTGTAAGAGCTTACACACATGAGGTAGGAATAGTCAACTTTGTATGTAATCTTGCAGTTGTTGTCTTTGGAGCACAGACTTCATGTACATGTACTAGAGAAAAACAACACAATTTCAACCCCTTTAGAAAATCATCATAAAAATGGGGTTTTCTGAACTCATAGAACTCAAGCAGCCAGTTATTTACACAAGGTCTAACCCAAATCATGATTTTACATTAACCCTTTAACTCCCAGAATAAAATTTTTCATTCTCCTTACTGTCAACTACACAATTTATATGATGTTAGTTCAGAGAATTTAGTATTGGATCAACTAATTATCCCCAAATTGATATTTTTCTTTATTCTTATCACTTATCTGGTTGATATTGTGTTGATATTGTAAGGAGAAATTCTGTCTTGGTCACTCGTGGGAGTTAAGGGTTAACAGTTGACCTCAGTGATTCTCTTCTAAAACAATTGTCCTTCCACTGTTAGCTTTCAGCCCTCTTGATGCTGTTTGCCTAGAAGGCGGTTTTATCAAATAACAGCTATACTTTGATAAAATAACCTGTTCAATAAGTTTTTGTTTAGAATGTTTTTGTAATAATGTTTATGTTAAATTTAACTGTTGGTAACTGTTGTGCAAAAAGGACTAATTGACTTCAAAACCTTCTGCTAGTTTTTTAATAACTAGGAGATAATTCACCTTTCCCCTGGGCAGGATATGTTGAAAATTTACTTGATGGGTACAAATCATATTTCTTCCTATCCCAGACAATGATATCAGGCATTTGTTAACTAAAGTTCAACTGTAGCATTTATGTCTTCTCTATGCTTACCTTACAAACCATTGCTGACCATCTCTGTTTATTTTGAACCCTGTCTTGGCCAACTTTTTACCAAAATGTATATTAAAATATAGACTGGTCTCAAAGTGGTATTCATTTGAATTTATGTTTTCAAGAGTTTTTGCAATTTGCTGTGCATGTTGAACATAGTTATTTATGAATTTTTTTTTTTCGTTGAAAAATTAGCTTAAAATATTTTTTTTATGTTAGGTGGTAACTCTGTGGTATCGTGCACCTGAGGTTCTCTTGGGAGGCCAGCGGTATGCATGTCCAATTGACATCTGGAGTGTAGGATGTATATTTGCAGAGATGGTTACAAAGAAACCATTGTTTCACGGTGATTCAGAAATTGATCAACTTTTCCGTATTTTCAGGTTTGTATGCAGTTCTCTGAAATCCATTATTTTAAATTCCCCAGCCTCTACCTGCATGATACTCTGCTACAAAATTGGCTCCTTCACTCAAAGGCTTCACAGAATCAGAATTGCTCAAGAACACTGAGAAAAGTTTCAACTGTTGATAAGACAGGCTTTCATCATGCTTATTTCATAGTTACTGTATGGTTATATGGTTATACCACCTGTATTTTTATGTATCATATACTATAAGTACACATATTTTCTGAGGCTAAAAACAACAGCTGCATTACAAACGCTGTGCCACCAGAAGAGATTTGACCTAAATGCGCTAGTCTATGGTTTGCGTGTCATTCTAAATGGTCTCTTACATTACTATGCTAAAGCATCTTCAGATGGGCAACATGAGTGTAGCTGTTCCTAAATTGTTCTGAGCCCTGTGATTCTTACAGACTGTGTCACTTGTTTCTCAAAGAATCCTAGGTACACCAACAGAGCAAAACTGGCCTGGAGTATTACAACTTCCTGATTACAAACCAAACTTTCCTAAATGGAGTGGAGAAGGACTGAGGAAAGTAGTACCACAGTTGGATAATAATGGGCTTGATCTTTTAGAGGTACATCTTCCTTATTACTTTGGCTTACCACATTCATCATTGTTTCAGCTCTTGCATTCTTTAAATCCTATTCAGTAATTGCATGCTCTGGTGGTCAATTTTTTTTTTGCCACGGGAAAGTATGACAACAGATTAAACATCTCTAATGATTATTCACCCTCCAGGTCTGGTATATTCCACCATAGTATTATTAATGAAAGATTTTTTGTTGAATCAATGAGGAAAAGTTAGTTGAAGACAGAAACTTACTTGCTCAAAAGTAATCAGAAATTTACTCAAAAAACTAGCAAAATTCTGCCTGTTTAGGGAAAAAAGCAGTAAACTTTCAGTGTAAGCTTATTTTTGTTGCTAAAAAATGTATGCTAATGGAATGTGCAATACAGCTTATTATAATGAGGCTTTGCCAATGCAAGGAGGTGAGGTATCAATTGTGTCTTTAATAGCTTTTTTCACAAGTTGGTTGGATTGCTGCCTGTGGCTACGTTATAGCCCTACAAGTCTTATTTATGAAATATCAAAAGGCAAAAGGCCTTAAAAACCCCCATTAGACCACTGATAACACAGTCTTAAAGTTTACTTTTCAAGCCAGAGTGTTTATTTTCCTTTTTTGATTTAGAAAATGCTCAAATATGATCCTGCTAAAAGAATATCAGCCAAAGCAGCTTTGGATCATCCTTACTTCAATGACTTGGACTTGTCAACCCTTCCTGCCACCAAAGAAATGACAATGAATGGAATGATGTTTTAGAACAGAGCTCTACACTTTCTATAAATCACACTCTTAGTATTCTTTTTTGCATAATGTAAAGAACTCAAAATTTTCTCAGCCAATTAATCAGCCTTTTTGTTATCTGTAGACATAAGTGCTAAAACTGATTAGAAAATGACACATATGTTACATTTCATGTATTTTTAAAAGGGAATTGTTTCTCTTTATTACTGATTAGTGTTAATTTAATGGCTCTAAGAGCCTGTGCTTCACAATCTCATTACAAGACTAAGTAACTTTCAAAATACAATCAGTCCTGGAGAGGTACTTAGTTCAATGTACATAATTATTAAATCAACTTCTTTTGTTTTCCATTCCTTGAACTTGAACCACATTTCTCAATGATCATGTTCAATCTTTTCTAATAGCCTTGAAATTTGCTTTTTTTTAAAACACTCAATAACAGCTGCTTTATAAATATTTTTGTTGCTATAATTTGTATATACTGTATTAACTTTGCAAATTTTACATTTAATTAGAAGGATTAAAGACAAAGTATCCATATTAAGTTTAAGTAAGAGGCAAATTGGAGGAACTCTATGAGATCTCTGAGTGCAACAATGCAATAACTCCCTCAGATAAACACCATGAGGATGAGGGTAACTTGCAGCTTGATACATTTTCCTATTCAGAGTTACAGAAATTTTTCTTTTAGTTGTCTAGTGTAAATAGTTGCCATTTGCCTAATATCTTTAAAAATATCAAGAATGTTACCTTCAATTTTTAATTACCTCTCCTGTGCTAGCTTTGATGTACTGTTTTTGTATTGCAGTTCACTATTACTGAAAGTGTACTTACTGATACTTTTTTCCAACACTATCAGATTATAATAAAAAAATTTATAAAACGAAACTCTGTGACAATTATTGAAATAAATTATGTTATTGGAGGTCAGCTAGGTCAGATCTCTAGTAAAACACTGAGTTATGAGATCGAAAATGTAGGGACTCTCACCTAACAATTTCAATATCACGTAGCTAACACGTGTCACAAACATGCCGTGAAGCTATTGGATTAGCAAAAGCTAGCAACTCATCATCTCCCAAGGAGTCACCAAAAGTGTACGATGATTCTCCGGTTTTTGTTGCGACTTTTTCAACCGCTGATCATAAATTGCATCCTTATTCCCGCGTAGTGAGAAGGAATGGAAAGACTTAGAGATGGCGAGTTTGATTCTTGGTTTTAGTTTTATCACTATTCTATTTGTCACTGGAAATGTTCTTATGAGCATTTGATTATTTTTCATGGAAATACGCAATATAGATATTAATTAATATTATTATCATTATTATTATTATTATTATTATAAATGTGTCATAGTGTCGGGTAGTTTTACCTTCATACTTGCCTATATTACAACAAGGCAAGATATCACTGAGAGTTATTTTCATTTGGGAATGCATTACAAAGAAATCTTGCTTCTTATCGATTTAACCCACGGGTTTTACTTTAGTATGCGCCAATTGAAGAGAATTTTAAAGTCTCGTGGTCTTGGGCGACGGAAAAATCGTAGTAGTCTCCGAGAGGTTGGTGGATGCATAAAGATGGAATTGTGCGGCAGCGGAAATACGATAAATGACCCAAAGACTCTCACGGGTCTACGGCCTTTGTGTTGACAAAGATACTCTCAGGAACCTCCTAGAAATTCTTGATCCTGACGGTGTAGACATAAATTTCCTTTGTGAACTCATCTTGCGAATACAATAACATTGCCATGAAGGAAAAATATTTTGTTGTCAATAATATGTTCGTTATTATAGTTTAAACGAGAAAGGGAATCTGAAAAGCAGTGTCATAAAAGTGAGAGTGTCCTACTAGGGCCAAACATTATACATAAATTTTTTTTTAACTGGGACAACTAAATATAAACTAGAAGAACAAGTAAAGAGCAATTTTAGGCAATGTTCATTTCCCAGAATTCACTGTCGATGATGCTGTTCATTTCTTGTCTCAAGTCTGCAAAGTTTTAGTATGTTGAGGGCAACTCTAAAGATACCGATGGTGCCCACGCATGAGCAGTGGGACGCCTCTCAAAGCCATCTAGACTAGTGAAAGTAACCTTAATTTTGTCCAAACATATGGTGTCAGTCTTTCAATATCTAGATCTCTCAGGTAATTTTTAAAGTAGAATATGACATTTTCTCCAGGCAACATTTTGCCGTTGTGGGATAACTTCAAGGAGATCGATCACCTCATCAGTTTTGTTTGTTGGAATGGCTCTAGTTAATAAATTTATAAGTTTTCCGTGGAGTTAAGGGTGGCTGTCTTCAATTTACGTTATGGCTCATGTTATGTCAATAATGTATTGACAAGCTTGTATTCGCTCTTTGTGAGCGATTTCTAAAATTGTATCCCTGCTCAGGCTTTGGAGCTCGCTTATATTCGAATCTATATAAGAAATCAAGCCACTCGTCATTGTGTTCATCTTCCAAAGAACCGTTAATTTAAAGCATGCACAACCAAAGCCCTTTTATCCCTTGACAAATAGAATCGAGTAGCACTTGCTGTGTCACCTCGCTTTCCCCAAAAAGTGTAGCAATCAGGAATGCCCTATTTAACTTTACAATTCAAGGAGTCTAGCTATGGCTTCCCTCTCTGGAGTTTGAAAGTCATGTCGTTTATCTTCAACTGTGCAGGAATTCTCAAATGCTGTCCAGAACGCTGACAGTGCGTCCCTGACAACTCCATTTTCATCTGATCCGACTTCTTCTTGGCCATGTGCATGTGCACTTTTAGTTGAGCTGCCATAAGTGATGGATCCTTAAACACTTCAATCATATCAGACACAACCTGCACCCTCCGAATTCTGACGAGTCTATGCAATAAGAAAGCATGAAATGAATAATTACTAATTAGTTAAAAAGGTGAAGGAGCATACGAGCCAAGGAGGCCCATGCGGCTGGAGCTTAACCTGATTTCTGTAGTATGAAGCACCTAGGAGCACTTTAGATGGGACGTTAGTACACATAAGTAAAACGTGACTGTTATTGACTGATTACAATGCGTGTCTTCAGGAATAGGCAGAGCAGAAAAAAATTATTTTACATAATTCTCTTCTCTCATTTGTTTTCTTGATTTCAGGTTGGATTATTTTCAAATGCAAACCCAAAATACTGTCGTAGATGATACTAATATCATCTAAATTTCTTTAAGAATACAAATCTAAGAACATCATGCGGTTCCCTTATTAGCTGGAACATTGCTCCCTCATTACCGTCCTCACCTTACTTCCTCAATGCATTGCTTGTTATCTAACCGCTTACGATGTTGAAAAGAATCCATTTATGTATTTTTATTGAGAATTTGACCGTATTGATTTATTCCTAAGAGCGGTCGTAAATGCTCCTATACAAACTCTTATAATTTCGCCATGACTTAATCATCTCCCACCTGAAGCTTGGGCCGATTGTGCTTAAGTCGGTCATGTTTCCCAGAGATTCCAACCCCATGTGATGGAAAATAGGGAGTAATTATTAGTGCCAAAGGCGCGAGCTTCTAGGGGGGTCAGGGGGCCGGGAAATTTTGCAAATTTAGGTTCTCTCAAGTGCCATTTCCTGAATTTTGACATCATTCCGGCCTGAGTTATAACATACCATAATGCTCTTCGCGAAGAAAGTAAGTATAATATGAGTGTTTCACAGTGAAAGATCGCCAAAAATTCTGAAGATTAGCAATTTTCCCCTAGTTTTCAGAATTTTATGATAAATCGGGAGAATTTGGTAAAAATCGGGAGAGCGGGAGGCAAGACATCAAATCGGGAGACTCCCGATCAAATCGGGAGGGTTGGAATCTCTGTGTTTCCCCTTCGTGCAGGAATGAGCCTGTGACGAGTAAGACCAGCGGTTGAAAAGGTCGAGAAAAAAGTTAGGGAAAAAGTCGCGAAAAAAGCAAGAAATTCGAGCGCGAGGAAAAAAATCGAGCGCGAGGAAAAAAAATCTCGAGCGCGAATTTTGATCAATGTAAGTCGTCTTACTAATTCTCTATAGGACGTTTCGTGAATCTTACACACCCGAATGAACGTGAGACTTCTAATATTAATAGATCAGCAGCTCATCATTATCTTCTAAAGGATTACTAGCAATGACTTTCCATTTTCACATATTAAGTTATTAACAGGGATTCAAGCAGCCATGGAGTCAACCATACCAATCATCGACTTAAGCGCCATGTGTTTGGGGAAAACAGCTGAATCGTCCACCGCATCAGAAATCAGGCAGCTCGCAGATGAAATATACAGGGCTTTCTGTACGGTTGGATTCGTTTATATTAAAAACCACGGTATTCCACGGGAAAAGGTAAGGATCTCATTCTTAGGTTTAGTTCTTTTGAACAGAAATTAAATTATTTTGAAAGATTCACCTCTCCTCAAGGAAGAATTAATAAGTTCTGATTCTTCGTCTTTAGAGAAGAATTACAATTCTGAAGGAAAAATCTGGGCTTATGTGTGGTGTAAAATGCATAAGTAATGTCACAAATTGTATCGTCAATCAAATGGATTTGTGGTTCTTTAGGGTCTTGGGGTTTTTTGGGCCTCAGGGTCTCTTAGAGTCTGTTGGTCTTTAGCTCTCTAGGTCTGTAGGTCTCTAGGTTTATGGGTCTCTGGGTCTTTGAGTCTCTAGTAGGGTCTTTAGGTCTCTGGAATCTCTGGGTCTCTATTTCTCTATGGGTCTATGGGTCTTCTAGCGGCTTCCCAGTCTCTCTGTCTCTGTCTTTCTTCCAGGCCTGGTTTACGAACACTAATGTTTTAATCCCTGGAAAAAACTTAAACATAGTGAAACTCTTTATCAGCTCTCCAAGCTGTTCAATCAAGTCATTCATTATGTTATTCATCAAATTTATTAATGCAGAAAAGGTTTGTAAAAACACTTAAAGTTACTTTGATCATTGCAGTGATGGAAAGTTGTGTCATTTGCTCTTTAGAAAAAAGAATATGAAATTTAACATAAAATCCAGGTGCAAAACATGGCTTTATTATCCAACTTTAATTTTAAGTATTCCCAGTGTAGGGTCAATGTAAAAGGAGGCTAATGAATCAAAATGAGTGTAATCAATGCAAACTTATATTGAGAATCAGTTTAGTTAAACGCTTTTTTGCCAGCTGCAAAGAAAAAAACTGAACTGATGTAATCAAGGCTAGTACAAAGCATGTACTGCTCTCAACAAACTCTCTAATTTTATTGTTTTTTTTAGGATAAGAACAAGCATCTAAATATCCTCCTTAAAACTTCCATATTTTATTTTTGACAATAAAAGATGTCATTATTAGATTGGTTTTGTAGGAGCTTTAAAATTTTATCTCAAAGGTTAGAATTGGAAATTTAAATGTGATGGAATGTGTCACGAGGTTATTTTAACCATTAATTCAGTACTTTTTTTGTAAATGAAATATCTACAAGATTTGAGGGCAGCACCTACATTAAAAAGACAAAAACGACATGGATGGCAAAATCACCAGAAAGACAATTTAACAGGTCGTGCACTTATAATATATTGCTGATTTTGAGTTGGTTAGTCATTGCTAGAGGAAAAGGTAATTTTTTTACTAAAACAAATATGGCGTTTTCAACCGGGTTTTCCATGGCTAATGTAAAATTCAACATGCAAAGGGAAAAATGTACAATCAAGACAAGTACATTAAATTTTTTTGAGATCCATACCCAAACTTGGTTTGTCTTAAAATAAAAATGCACAGTCTAAAATTACCAACTACTCAAGGAGAAATATGCAGGACCAGCCAGTGGTTGTGGTCATGGATGGGTGGTGTTTGAGAGAGAAAAGTATGGTGTTTCTCAAACTCTTTTTTGGTGATACAATGTGGCATGAAGAATTTTTTTTCTTGTTTCCTAGATTTATGCAAAATTCAAGAAATTAATGAATTACAGAGGAATAACTGTATTTCAAATAAATGAACAAATTAAAGCTTTCATGTGGCACCATAATATGCTCAAAGACTTGTTTGCAGACATTATCTGTTCCAAGCAGACGGTTTCCCAGAAAACAACAATGATGGCAAAATCACCAGAGAGAAATTCAACAGGTTATGCACTTAAATATTGTTGATTTTGAGTTGGTTGTTCATGGCAAGAGGAAAAGTAATGTTTCTACTACAACAAATATTGCTTTTTCAACAGGGTTTTCCATGGCTAATGTAAAATTCAACATGCAAAGAATAATGTACAATCAATACCAGTACATTTTAATTTATATGAGGTCCATACCCAAACTTGGTTTGTCTTAACATAAAATTGCACAGTCTAAAATGACCAACTACCTAAAGGAGACAGAAGCAGATGAAAAAACATGAACAGTTCTGCCTTCAGATAACAATAGTCCAAATAGGACTGACTACCCAAGAGATTCAGAAGAGGCATTAACCTTTTTCAGAGGGTACTTAAAATTAAAGTTGGATATTTTGTAGGGGTGTTTCATGCCCTTATTTTCTGTTTTTGTATTCAATTTACAAAGAGCAAATGACACAAGATTGCATTACTATTGTGATCATTAAGTAATGTCAGGTGGTTATACAAATGATAAAAATAAATGCATAATAAAATAAATTTTAAGATCAACAAAATGAATGACATGAATGAACAGAGAGAGAGAGAAAAGTATTTTGCAATGTTAACATTTCTGGAGGGGATTGCATCATCATTGTAATTATGTAATCCAAGAAACTCAAAGACATGTATTTAGCATTCTTGTTTGGAAGAATACATTTTTCCCCAAGAAAACACATTCTTTGGTTAAGATCCAGTAAATAAGGTATTCCTCTGAGATGAAACACTATTCTTCTCTTAAGATAATAATACCTTTCATGATAATACTTATGTTATATTTTAAGCAAGCTTACGAGAACAATTACATTTCTTCCTGTAGACCCAATATTTGTTTTCAAGAGAAGAACGTCAATTTTGAGTCTTCTCAAATAAGTTTTGTCTTTCACCCAAGAATGATTATTGGTTTTTTGATTGCTCCTTAGCTTGCTTTTTTGAACATTCACATTCAAAAGGATTCTTGCTGTAAAAATCTTGTTTGTGCTCTTCTGAATACTGATTATTCTACTGAGCAGAATCTCATGCTTTTAATAGGTTTTGTTGAATTATTGAAAGGATTGTTTTTCTGGCTTTACACTGAGAAGGATCCCATTTTATGTGGTTTTATTTTTTAACAAATCATTAACATAACATAGAATGAATTTAAATATTCATGATGTATAGATAAAATTATCAATGAGGAATGATATCAACATTCATGATCTTATTACACAAGGTAGCGCACATGTTTTTTGAGAAACTATTTTTCCATTATATAGGCTCAGTTGGTATTTTTTGCAGATTGACAAAGTTTTCAAGTTATGTGATGAGTTTTTCCAACTGGATCCTACTGTGAAGCAGAAATATGCGAGACCGGCCAGTGGTAGTGGTCATGGATAGGTGGCATTTGAGAGAGAAAAGTAAGGTGTTTCTCAAATTTTTTTTTTGGTTTGATACAATGTGGCATGAAAAATGTCTTCTCTCATTTTCAAGATTTATGCAAAATTCAAGAGATCAATGAATTACTGAGTATTAACTGTATTTCGATAAATGAACATAAATTAAAGCTTTCATGTGGCACCAAAATATGCTCAAGTATTTGTCTGCAGACATAATCTGTTCCGACAAGCAGACAGTTTCCCAGATGGAAGCTCTACTAGGAAAACTGAGTTTTACCCTTCAAGGTGTGAGCTGAAATATTTTTTCAAGTTTACTCAATGAATGCAAGTACATTTCTGCCTTTTGTCTGTTATCAGAGTTAGTCCAGACAGACCTGCTGATCACAAGGAAGCCTTTAATATAACAGAGCCTCAAACTCATCAGCGTGTAAGGCCATCTCTTTTTTTTTAAATAGATAGAAATTTGTATGTATAGATATAGATAATCAAGTGATTTTAAATATAATTTGAAATATCTGAGCGCAAAAGCATTTTTTAACAACTGAAAACTTTCTCAAGCCTGTCCAAGTGAAAGCAAATTGCAATCTTATATATTCCAAATTGCACAAGAAATATTTAATTACTTGAACAGATATTGTTCTAATTTCAACACAGTGCCTTCAATCAGTTTCGTACTGAGCATCTGCCAGATGTAGTTGGTTTTTCATCAAGTTATCATTCATGTTCAAATAGTTACAAATGAAGACATTAGCTAAGGGAAAAGATGAATGATGTGTTATCCTTTAACCCTTTAAATACCATGAGTGACCAAGACAGAATTTCTCCGTACAATATCAAGACAATCTTGAGGCAGACAAGTGATGAGAAAAAAGAAAAATATCAATAATTATTAGTTGCTCCAATACCAAATTCTCCAAACTAACAGCACAAGAACTGTACGGTAGACAGTAAGGAGAATTACTAAAATGAGATCTTGGTAGTTAAAGGGTTAAGATGTCACCATATATACCAGATGCCACCTCATATCATAACTCAGTGTATTATAATTGCTCTTTGACTATTCACTCTGATTACCTTACAAATCTTTGCATTCTTTGACCTATATTATAGGCATGGCCAGATGATGAAGTACCAAATTTCCAAAATGAGATTGCCTCCTTCTTCGATATCTGTGTTGACCTGTCTTTGAAAATCCTTCACATCATGGCACTTGGGCTGCAACTTGAGGTGCTACAGACTGTAATACTGTGAAAATGTGCTGGAATGTCTTAATTGAAACAGGGTATCAGGCCTACAACTAAGACTGTGGATTTTTAAGGGACACAATCTTAATTTCTGAAAATGGAAGAACAACCAGGGTTAAAATTAATGAATGGGTGAAAAGTCATTTGAGATATAAACTCTTGGATAACCAACATTTGTGATCATTACTATTTTTTCATATTTGAAGGAAAATGTAAGTCATTGTACATCCAGCTCAACAGCAAAAAACATAAATTTTTTCATCAGTTAAATTTGTTTTTGAATATGGCCTCCTCTTAATAACCCTTTAACTCTCAGAAGTGAATAACATGTAATTTCTCCCTATAATATCCGTACATTATCCAGTGAGCAGGGAGTGAGAATACTCAAACTTATCAGATTGAAGTTGTTATCTTGATTTAACACCAAATTCTCCCAACAAATTTACAAGGAAATGTGTAGCTGCCAGATGGGAGAATTGATTATTAGATCTTGGGAGTTAAAGGGTAAGGTACATAAGAAAAAATTCTGCAATTTTTTTTTTTTTGTAGGATCCAGATGTTTTTACAAACACTCACAAGATAATGGCCAGTTCTAAGAACTGCACCACCTTACGACTGTTACACTACCCATGCCTTCCTGAAGACAAGATAATTAAACCAGGACAAATCCGCTGTGGAGAACACACTGATTATGGATCAATAACTCTCCTCTTTCAAGATAACATGCCGGGACTTGAGGTATCATGACTATTACTTCTTATATCTTGAAGGGTCCTTTCATTAAAGCTAATCAGCTCTTTGCCAAAATGATTCTCCCTTGTTGCAGTATATCACTTGCAAAGACTACAAGTGCTTACCGTTTATAATGTTAATAGGACTGACTGGAGTCCAATTTGGTCTGTAATCATACGAGTGACAAACAAAATCGGACAACTCCACTCAGCCTCGTGATTAATTAATTAAAACTATGGCAAAATTTGAGAAAGAAACTAAACATCGATAATACAATTTCATAAAATAAGCAACAGATACTCGGCAAAATGCACGACAACAGCAAGCGCACATGACGCAAAACGTCCACTTCTACAGGCAGGTCGAGCACACTGTTCTATTAGTGATTATATTGGGCTGGTGATAAGCAATAACGTTAGAGAATTTTGTTATAGTTTTGATTAACCCATGGAATACCTGGTTGAATCAAAAGTCAATCATGAAATGTTTACACATGAAATTTTCAAACCCTGTGTGGCTCATGGAAATGTCAAGTACCCTGATTTTAAATTAATTTATCTCCTTTTGGCAGGTCTTACCTCTTGGATGTTCAGAGTATGTACCTGCCCCTCCCCTCCCAGGAGCAATAGTGGTCAATGTAGCAGACCTCATGCAGAGGTGGACTGGTGACCGGCTGAAGTCAACGGTAAGGAGATACCTGCTGATACAGAAACCTGTTGATATTACCACCATTGTGGCCGCATAAAAGGGATGGGATTGTGTAAAAAATACTAAGTTTTCTAAAGAGAATGGTTTTACCTAGACTAGCAATACTTCTGCCTTCAGTAGAATGGAGAAAATTATGTAAACTTTTTGAAGCAGATCTATTACATGATAAATTGTGATTGTAGGGATAAATTCCTATTCCTCGTGTGGCTAATCGTATTAAAGAAGTGACGTTATGAAGGAAATAACGATGGGGGTATCCAGAAGGTGGCTATTGGTCATAACATCTGCCCACACCCCTAAAGAAGGTGGTAGAGGAACACTTCAAAGTTAAAATAAGTTTCTTCCTACTTTTCCATGTCTCCTTTTCCTTGTGGTTTCTTTTTTTCAGCGCCATCGAGTTTCCATTCCATCAGAAGAGTGTCACCGGCGCGTTCCGAGACGTTCTTTAGCCTTTTTTGTCCACCCCGATGACGACACGGTGATTGAATGTCTTGATGGATCTCAGAAGTATCCTCCAATAACGGCCTATGATTACCTATGGCAACGGCTCAAAGCGACTTACGAATACTGAAACAGTTCACAAGATTTTGGATACTAGGAGGTGATTGAAACCAGTAACTGATTGTGTTCGTCATGTCAGGTTCGATTTGTAGAAGACTGCAGCATACCGGCAATAGAGAAAGGAGTGGCGTAATAAATGTTGACATCAAGTTTATAGTCATTTGGAGAAAGCAGTTTAGCTCTTTATCAGAATTAAGCATTTCATACAGTATCGCCCTTCTCACCGTGAATCTGTGACGATACTGAAATCACTGGTTTTTGTGGCTGGCCTAATGGTTTGCTGGCTGAATTCAAGATCGAAAGTTTCGGGCTCGAGTCAGGATCATCTTGCTTCTCTTCTTCAGGGGTATACGGGTTTCTTTTTCCGAAGACGCGTTGCTCCAGATACGATTGTAAGAAGAAGATGAATATGTGTCAAAGGCACGAACAGTTAGCGATGATTTAAATAGGATTGTCTGGGCTTACGATCGGTTCATAACATAAAAATAAGGTAGAGCACCTTGTGCTAGCACACACAGGTTAAGCCTTGGTCAGTGAGATTCAGTATTTCATGAAACAGCGCAACATCTCGACACTTGTCCCTCATTTTTCCTAGCGAAACCGAATGATGAACTCGGGTACTTTCGAAGCATAATTTACATTCAGTGTAGTAGGTGATGTGTGTCCTGCACATATTGTCAGACTGAAGTGCTTTTTAATGCTTGTCAATTTTTTCTATTGTATTCCGTCCCCAACTACTAGAAGTGTCCTCTGATGAGTGTCTAAGAACCAAAAGGAAACGCTCAATCAGTGCCGTGACAAATTAAATTGTTACACTGAGATACTCGTGATTACTATATATAGCTACATGCAAACTGCTTTAAGTGCGGGAGATGCGAGTGACCAATTCATGATTGATTTTAATTTTTTCCCTCAAATTGGCCAAAGAGCAATAACAGACCCACACTGTATGTAGATGGGTAAGTTGAAGATATACATTGATATGTTTTGGCACAACTTGCCAAAAACCCAGGTTTCTGACCCTTTTTGTAACCGCTTCCGATAAAACTGAATGTTACCGCTACTGAGAGAAGCTGCGAAATATTTTCTGGTTAGATTGACGCCTCCGTCATTATTGCTTTTAAGATAAAAAAATTATAGTGAGGTTTTCAGTTCAGAATAAGACCCCGTGTACCCAAGATCTTTGGAATAGAAGACAATTTTTAGACCGTAATTCTTGATATAGTTAGTAATCAAGACCCGGGAACGTTGGTAAGCAATAACTTATTTTATGATTAAGTTATGTCGCTCTGATTCAAAGAGACACTTATCGCCAGTTTTTACCTTTCCTTTTGGTTCTTTTTTGGAGCCACGTGCTCGTTTCCGAAATGAGGTTGGTTGATTATTTTTGAAAATGATTTCCTTCTAAAATCCTAACTTTAACTATGAAGTTATTGTGTAACTGAGTGAAAAGTAGAGTATGACGATTATTAGAGAGCCAAACATGGAATCAAATCAGCAATGTATAGCCGGGTTTAAAAGAGATTGGGCACGAAAGCCTGGAACATTTCATTCAAGATGGCCACCCATGAAATCCCTGTCGTGGACTTCAGTGCTTTGAGTCTAGAAAACAAAGATCCTTTCAGCGAAATAAGTAAAGACATTGAAGAGCTTGCTGATCAAGTTTATCAAGCGTTTAGTACAATTGGATTTGTTTATCTAAAAAACCATGGTATTCCCCAAGAAGTGGTAAGCGAACTCAGCTTCTTACGCGGGGGCGAAAGAGATGTCACGAATCAAAATTTACCACACGAAAAAAAAAATTACGTCTTTACGCTACTTTAAGATGTGGACAAATTGCTCCAAGGGTATATGCGTTATACCACCCATCAGTGCTAATGAGTTTGAGGTTGATTATTTTTGAAAACGATTTCCTTCTGCATTCCTAACTTTAACTATGAAGTTATTACGCAACTAAACGAAAAGTAGACCATGACGACTATTAGACAACCGAACAAGGAAAACTCGGTTGAAAAGAGATTGGGCACGAAAGCCTGGAACATTTCACTTAAATATAAGAAGGCTTACCGATGAAATCCCTGTCGTGGACTTCAGTGCTTTGAGTCTAGGAAACAAAGATCCTTCAGTAAAGACATATAAGACCTTGCTGATCAAGTTTGTCAAGCGTTTAGTACAATATGGATTTGTTTATCTAAAAAACCATGGTATTCCCCAAGAAGTGGTAAGCGAACCCAGCTTTTTACGAGTGGGGTGAAGGGGGTGTCATCACGAATAAAAATCTACCAGACAAAAATTAGTTAACGTCTTTACGCCACTTAAAGATGTGAACATACTGCACTAAGGAGAAATGCCTTATGTCACCCATCAGTGCTAAACAAGTAAAATCATCGATGGACCAATGGCTTTCCAAAGCAAATCAACCTTTTCATAGAGAAACACAGTGTCCATCCTTCCTTTGGGGGGAGGAATCTTTCCAGCATGTACTCATAAGAGGTTAGCTATTAGTGCCCAGGCACAACAATACCATAAGTGAGAGGTGGTGATAGGTCTGTTGATACTTTTCTATCAATTTTCTGATTGTTTTACCTTGCAGATTGACTCTGTTTTCAAGACGTTTGACAGGTTTTTTGAATTAAACCAAGATCTAAAGGAAAAGTACACCAAGGATAAAGGAACATCTTCAAATGGTTGGGATGCTCTTGAGAGAGAAAGGTTTGTGATCCCTTGCCAGGAGAAACCTGTAATGTCAACATGTTCCTCAAGTTTGCCCATCTTTAGTCTCAGTTTCTATTTATTTCCAAGTTCTAATGCGGACATGGATGTACTCGCTCTTTTTCTGTGTTTCTGAAGGGAAGGGAAGCCAAGGTCTCTCTCAGCTTCCCTTTGCTACAATACCTTTGTCTACCTATTTAAGTACAGCCAGACTACCAACAAGTGTCTTTAAAAGGATGATATCCTTTGCTCTGAACATCCATACTGACCATGTATTTTTTGCAAGTTAACAGTCCAGTGCAGATTATAAAATCATGATTGAAGTCTCTTTGTCTAATTTATGCACAGCACTAATCCAGAGAGACCTGGAGATCTCAAAGAATCATTTGATGTGGGTGCAGTCTATGATGAAAACTTTGTGAGTGGCACTGTTACTTTCCTTTCAAAACAAGCATGTAGAATAATTTTGTTGTCATTCTGTTCATTGGAAAATATTGCAAACTTAACTCTCACATGCAGTGTGATCACCAAAAGTTATTTTTCACAAAAACACACTTACGATTTTAATGACAGCCAACAAATTCAGTATGCACACAAATGATCATTTATTTCACATATGGAGTGGCTTCACTTGGCTTATTTTAAATCAACTTTATCATGGCAGAACTGGCCTGACAAAGATGTTCCAATTTTCCAGAGAACTATTACTCCTATGTATGAGTCCCTTATGGCTCTTAGTAAAAGAGTGCTGTCTCTAATGGCTATAGGCCTAAAAATGGTAAGTTGCCATAAGTATGATTTCCATCTTACGTATTATTTTGAAGGTAACTTTCAATGATAAGTAAGATTTGATCTTTTGTAGTCACATTATTATAATTGCATGTTATCTATTATAATCTTATGATTTTGTACAGCCACTTCGCAAGCATAGAAGTCCAAAGATTGACCATGGACTGATGCAAAGCATATCCTGTTTTGTTCATTTGATAAAATTAATTGACTACCATATCATGTGCTAAACATTTGTTATCTGTAGTTTTGAATGCACTCCCTGCTCTGCTACTCTGCCCTGTCTTTGACTCTTTACCCCATGGTTCAATTTAAAGTAATTGTTTTGATTGAAAACTTAAGGTAACATTTCCACCACATGTTTCTGTAACAAGGAGCCCAACAAATTTGCCTATGCATTTGAGAATATGGGTACATCCTCTGGTGGCACTCAGCTCAGATACAACTACTACCCAATGATAGCAGACATCAGGAAAGTGAAGCCAGGCCAGATACGCTGTGGGGAACATACTGATTATGGTGGCATTACATTGCTGATTCAGGATGATGTGGGTGGACTTGAGGTTAGAATAAAGTTTTTCTTTTATCCAAGGGGACACTTGTACTTGGGAGATGAAAGCAAAATAATTCCCAGTGCACAATTAAGACTTCATTTGTCAAAAAAGCAAATCTTTGAACATGAACTTAAAAGGTGAAAGTTAAAAGTTCAAAAAGAATCCAGGTGCTTTATAGTGTTAAGGGAGAAATAGTTAAAACAGAACAAATGAATTATTTGCATTGTTCAATTAAAATAATGATTCTTGCATTGTCTCTAGTGGTCTCGAGTCACATTGGCCAAGACAAATCATGTCCAATGATTTTTTTAATAGTTTTGATTAGTATCATACTAAATTGTACTTATTGCTAAATGCAGGTTTCAAACATTAAATATGATGGGCGATTTGTTCCTGCTACACCCATGAAAGGAACAGTACTAGTAAATATTGGTGATTTGATGCAAAGATGGACAAGTGACACACTTAAATCTACGGTATGAATCTAGCAGACAATAGATAATCATGACAACTTCTCTGTGTGTTAAAATGTGTACTAGAACATTTCTTAGAAGTCAGCATTTTACAAATATTACATTTGTTAGGGCTTTCTATTGTAACTGTACCTTGTATGCCCTGTTTTGTGTGCATACATGTGTGTGTGTGTTTTATTATTATCAATTTTGCACCTTTTTTTTTGTTTTCATTCTTTTCCTGATACATTTTCTTTGGAGTGCGTAGTATTCACCAGTAAATTTTTGTCAGGCTCATGCTCAAAATTTGTTGCCACAAATAAATCAATTGATCAGTCAAGCAGTCCAGGTTCAAAACACTTTACTTTCACTGTGCCTTTCTTTGTACAGGAGTATAAATGGGTACTGGCAAATTTTCAGGGTAGCTTGATAAAATACTGGGGGGTAACCTAGCAATAGATTAGCATCCCAGCCAGTGTTGGAAGGAGAGGGGTAGTGACACTCCTTGACACTTCATGGTATGGAAAGCAAGGTAAGCTTTAACTGGGTGGGCCACTTTGCTTGAGTACAAACGTTTCCTTACCTCATTTTTACTCCACCCACAGTTATCTTACAAGGACCTTGATAATGCAGCGTGATCTTTGCACAATGGTTTGGATATAGTGCATAATCAGAACGTTTATCGAATTGAATCTTCTTTCAGGTTCACCGAGTACTAATACCTGAAGTAGAAATCAAGCGGCGTGTTCCTCGTCGGTCATTGGTGTTTTTTGTTGATCCAGATCCGTCTTCACTAATAAGTTGTTTAGATGGCTCAAGCAAATATCCACCGATTACAGCTGGAGAATGGATCAAGGGAAAACTCTCTGCCACATATAGTTATTGAAAGTGAGGCAAGTGAACCTAAACTTCACAAACATGCCAATGCAATTGGAATTTTAACTACTGGATTACGTTTATCTTTATCTCAGTGAAGAATACATTTTTAATGCTAACATATTGATAGGGTTTTTTTCCATTAATTTACGAGAAAAATCTGGGTTTCTTTTTTTTGATAATTCTCATGGTGGTGCTCAATGATTGGTTTAGAGAGAACTTATGTCACCTTGACCAATGAATTTAACCATGGTTGCTCGCGTTCTCTCGCACTTAAGACAATTTGGTTGTTTTTTTACGTTTCATTTTTATTGGCTCCTTCTGATGTTTTTTTTTTGTTTTGTTTTTCTGGCTGGCCGATGTAGTTATCTTGGTTTAACGTTCTATTAAAATTCTTTGCTGTGTGTTTGTTCAGTAACAGATCACAGATGATGTCAAAATGTGGTGAGAACAAAAAAGCGGCACTTGGGGCGCAGCCGAGTGTGTCACTGATGTTCTTACCACATTTTGACATCTTGTGCGGTCTATTACTGTACCGTACATACCCACGGGAACATGCAATCTATTTGTTTTGAATGATAACAAAGCAACCATTTGTTGCAGTGTTATAGATCGTAGGCGAAAATTACAGATCAAAATGCGTGAATAATTATTCTTATTACTTAAAGAGAAGTTAGAAATGACCAATATAACTTTACAATACTTTATTTATTTTATTGGATATATAAGTTATACACCCATCATGACGAAACGATGACAATGATAGTCAATAATAATGACGTCATTATGTGGTATAAATAAAACTTAGTGGAACTTGAGAAGTAGATTGCATCTCTATGGTTAACTCTGAACACATTTTGACACCTTTTCCATGATCTAGTATACTCAATATCCTTGTTTTTTTTTACAAAGAGAGAGAAATTCAAATGGAGAAGGGAAGAAGCGTTGGCTTGTATAGTGCACACAGTCAGTCAAGCGCTACATTGTTTATCAGCCACACACCCATAGATAACAATATTCCATTTTCTGTGCACCCGTTCAATTTGTGATCAAAGATAACTTTAAACTGTGGTCGCACACAAAGGTAGACGCATTCATGGCCGAAAAGGAAAAAAAAAAGCGACAACTAGGAATACATAAACATCCGCTCTTCCGTGATCTGTAGCTTAAGAAACATAACGAGAGTTCTAAGGTCAAATTGCTCATGCTAAACTTTATTCTTACATGAAACCCATTCTGCCCGATGCAAAGATGACTCGAGAATCTCTTGAGAATAAAACTGAGTCGCGCACTTGAGACGTTAGCCTTGGAAGGCCAATGCATTTCCGCTCAGAAGAGAATCGGAAACCGGAAATCACGTTTGAATTGTATAATTTCCCATAAGATACAATGTACAAATGGCAAACTAAAATACATCTTGGTAAACAAAATGGGAATAACTTTAACTGAAGAATATGGTACAACAACAAGTACCACAACAACAGCAGCAATAAAAAATCTCCTCTACCTAGAGGGCTACAGCGTTTGCCTCGCTTTCTAAGCCATACTGAACAACTTCTGTGGTACTTCCTGTGATGCGTTCCTCTTAACACGATGTGACGATATTCTCGTGAAACAACAAGGTAATCGTAAAGCTGAATGAAATTAATCTCAGGTAAATTACGGAGATCGCTCGACCATCCAAGGGCTGAAATCCTTACTATAGTTGCTTAGTATCTGAAGTCGCTCTGGTTTTGTTCTAGGTCCTAGACATCTGTAAGAAGTTCTCGGTTTTCTCCACTACTTGATGGAAGGACGTGTCACATCAGCAAAGCATGAACTTTAAGTTGGCTCTAATTCCGCCCGTCGATTTTGAATTGGATTTTAAAATCTCCCTGAGATCTTTTGCTTCGAGTTTCTGGGTGTCATTTAATGACGAAATTTCCATATTGTTGTATTAAAGAACCATTTTGAAGGGAGAAATCGCATTTAAAAGTGCATTAGAACGTGAAATGTCAGCATATCAGCTGTTTGAAAGAACCGCCGGTGTCACAGCGGATTTGGACCCCCCGCGGATTTGGACCCCCGGTCCAAATCCGCCAGCGGATATGGACCCCCCTTCGCAGATTTGGACACCCCTACAAAACGTTTCTTTTAAGCATCGTTTGTATCATACTTGGTCACTAATTCTATTTGGAAGCTTTTTGCCGATATTCTTTTCCATCACAGAACAACATTCCTCAGTAAAGGTAAAGAAAAACAGCCATTTCGTTCCAATTCTGCCGCATGTATTATAGCGAGTCGTCCAGTATAGGCAATAATAAAATGCAAACAAACTACTGCATTCGAACTCTTGAAATTGTTCCAGTAAATCTTTGCTTCTTCTGATGCGAATCAACATTAATACGAAACGTCATAATAGTGCAAACTGTTGCATCCCGTCACAAAAATAACTCAGTCTGATTTTCTAATTAAATAACATTAAACAGTTTCTGAACAAGAACGAAGTAACAACTCCTACTAAAAGTCGTTCGTAAAGCCTATGGTAAGTAAAAATGTTTCTATTCTGAGCAATTGGAACTCTCAGCTTATTTTCAAAGGCAAATCAACATTAATGTCTACGTCCTAACTAAAGTGGTGACTATTACATCGAACTCAATCTTATATTCTAATTTCAACGAATATTAACCGTTGAGAAATAACACCTTAACAATTACGAAGACGTTTAGAGTCTAGCGGTTTGCAGACAAAGCAGAGCCGCTTGCCCTCCAGGGCAGTCTTATATTCCTCGCAGCTCACGTGCAACCATTCCTCGCACAACTCACACTGTACCATGTCGTCCAAACACTCAGGCATTGAACAATAACAAAATAAATTAAAGTCAAAAGTTTGTCTATTATTGAATTAGAAAGGGTCATTTCCAGCTGCCAATTGCATGTTTTGAATCAAAAACATACTTTAATACGCACTGGAACGTAAAGTATTTCTACTAGAACGTCAGGGATGATGTTTCACTCAGTTTTGCTGGGGGTCCAAATCCGCGGAGGGGAGTCCAAATCCGCTAGCGGATTTGGACCGGGGGGGTCCATATCCGCTATCGGATTTGGACAGGGGGGCCAAATCCGCGGGGGGCCCAAATCCGCTGTGACACCGGGTCAACCCCAGCCTCGTTATCGTGTGTGCGCGGTTACTAATCCAATATGGCGCCGGGAACTGTAAAAAGGTCCATTGTTCCATTTCGGCATCCTTTGTAATTTATTTCCAAAGAGACAGTTATTGTGGGGAATATTTTTTAACAGCTCCTGCTGAAGTTTTATTTTGAGGCGTAATGTGCTCGATAAAATATGACTGATAAAATGTGGTTAGAATGAAACTGAGTAGCTTTTGAGAAATTAGTTTGCTGGCAGAGAGGATTCTGGCTTGAAGAGAAACGACAAACGGAAATCACGTAGGTGTCGGCGGAACAATGAGACTTATGTGAGTGTGTCTGAGTGATATTCTCAACTAATTTTGACGTCTTTTGTGATCAGCAGCTGAAGACGCAGCTGTTACGTTTGGAATCAAAAGTTAAACTATTCTTACAAAACATACTTTTGGGTTACCTTACTCTTCCCTAAAGAATCAGGCAAACATCATTTTTAAAACGGCACCCCATGAACGGATGTTGTTGAAAAGAGGAAGACGATCATTAAATGACGCACGCCTTTTGTGTATGCCGACGATGATCTCAAGATCAGTCACACATCAATAATCAAGCCACTGTTTAAATATAGCACCACAAACATACTGTTTGTGATCACAGATAACTTTAAACTGTGGTCGCACACAAAGGTAAACGCGTTCATGGCCGAAAAAGAAGGAAAAAAAGCGACAACTAGGAATACATAAACATCCGCTCTTCCGTGATCTGTAGCTTAAGAAACATAACGAGAATTCAAGGGTCAAATTGTTCAGGCTGAACTCTCTTCTGCCGATGCAAAGATGACTCGAGAATCTCTTAAGAATAAAACTGAGTCGCGCTCTTGAGACGTTAGCCATGGAAAGCCAATGCATTTCCGCTCAGATGAGAATCGGAAACCGGAAATCACGTATGTCTTCGCAGGCCATTGAAACTCAAGCGAGTGTGTCAAGCTGACACTCTTGATCCATTTTGAGATCTTTTGTAATCTATTTCCAAAGAGACATTTATTGTGGGGAAAATTTTTTAATAGCTCCTGCTGAAGTTTTATTTTGAGGCGTAATGTGCTCGATAAAATATGACTGATAAATATAGTTAGAATGAAACTGAGTAGCTTTTGAGAAATCAGTTTGCTGGCAAAGAGGATTCTGGCTTGAAGAGAAACGGCAAACGGAAATCACGTAGGTGTCGGCGGGCCAATGAGAATTGAGTGACTGTGTGTCTGAGTGATGTTCTCAACTCATTTTGACGTCTTTTGTGATCAGCAGCTGAAGACAGAGCTGTTTGGAATAAAAAATCAAACTCTTCCCACGGAACATACTTTTGGGTTACCTTACTCTTCTCAAAAGAATCAGGCAAACATCATTTTTAAAACGGCACGCCATGAACGGATGTTGTTGAAAAGAGGAAGACGATCATTAAATGACGCACGCCTTTTGTCTATGCAGACGATGATCTTAAGATCAGTCAGACGTCAATAATCAACTCACTGTTTAAATGTAGCATCTTAAAGGATGTGATCAGTTCGGTTGCAGCTCTGAGAACAGGCCATGAACCAAAGAGGCTTTGTGATTGAAGTTTGACTGACAGAAGATTTTTTCAAAACTGTCGGATTAGGTGTGTATTCTATACACGCATTAGCACAAGACTTACCTTTATTTCCGAAAGTTGCATAAAGGAGGTAAGTTTTATAGTTTTTTTTAGTTTTGATAAACGAAAATTGTAGGTGATGCATGGATCTTGCTCGCTGATTCAGGATTCCCACTGATACCACTGCGAATGGATATTCTAGTTGTAAATCTACGTTTGAACACCCTGTTAAAAACTTCTTTTAATGGTATCGACCAAGCTATTTGTGCAACTTTCGAAATTACTAATTCAGTGTGGTGTTGATACCATTTGAACGCTGTAAGATTCCTCGTGTTACTAAAAGTACGAGTATTCGGTATTTGGCCTGTTGTGTTTACCTATTTGTTAGTTTTCATAAGCATTTCTCAACGACATTTGGCTAATCTTTCGAAGCAAATTTTGTGGAAATCTAGATACCCTTATGCCTTTCCCTAGCAACGATTGTTTTCCTGTCGTTTTTTTGAGCAACCTCGTTCTTAGGGTCCTCTCTCTTCCCCCCTTGACTGGTCATACCCGAAAGCAACCCGAACTACCCGAAAGAGTTACCCGAACGACTAACCCTTAGTCATTGAACAGCTCGTCCCAGGGCTACTCTAAAACGTTTGATCAAAATGGCGGCTGCGACTTGTGCAATCCCGATTGTTGACTTCAGTGCCATGAGCCTTCAAAACGCGAATCTTCCAGACAATAACAGCCAAGCTATTAAAACTCTTGCTGATCAACTATATCGAGCTTTTAGTACGATTGGATTTGTGTATCTTAAAAATCATGGAATTCCACAAGAAGAGGTAAGTTTGTTGCTTAATAATCGCAAGTGATATTCTTTCTTTTAAAACAAACCAAAAAAAAAAAAATAATAATGTTGAGTGCAGGTTTCGACGTGCTGCCCCTTAACTATGCGTAAATGTATGATGTAACAGAACTCGTATATGAAAGATGAAATTTAAATTCAAAGTTTGTCCACTTAGCAAAATTTCCACACAGCCCCATACTTCGTTATTCATACAACTCTAGGATAAAGAAAAGAATGGTGAATACAATGGATTGGCTTCGGAACTACGGCTTGCTTTAAAATAATATGGGGGTTAACTATACGGAAATCTTTCCGTTCACTCTTTATCGCTCCTAAAACGTGCAGAAGAGACTTTTAATCAGCTGTAAACTTATGTGGTCGTGCTTACAAGCCAAAGTCTCATTAGCATTAAATTTCAGTGTCAGTTTTATTTTTCAGTTGTTTTGTTTGAAGTTGTTCAATAGTTATTTGTTTTGTAAGGTCAAGGGAGGTAATTAATTTTCTGATCAAGTCAATGTCAGGGTTCAATGAAAATCTATCACACATCAACGTTCTACAAATTGCCTGAGTATAATCCATGTGTATACTCCTATTAACACTATCTCCCAAACATTGCATGAAATTATAAACCAACTTTCCCAGGTTATCCAGGAGTCTCCTGGATAACCTGGTAACCTAACATGGTATCCTGGATAACCTGATAACCTAACACTGTTGCACAAATTGATTGTACAACAGTGTCTCTTGGTCTCCCAAACAATTTGCTAAATCTTCCTGGAAATGTAAAATCATGACTGAAACAGTGTATTTATTCTATAAAAGAGGTTGAATCAAGCACATTATCTCCATAAAAGTATAATTGTTGTTGTTTGTTGTAGTCATATTCAAGTTGAGTCTTTTATGATTTCTGAAGAAATGCATTTAGTGAATTTCAGCTTTTAGGGGAGGAAGAGGTCTCGTTGTCCAAAATCAATTATTTCTAGATTTTAAATCTCAGAGGCTGATGTACCTTTAATTATGCAGTTGTCTGCTCTAGGATTAGAATTGCAGTACCTTACATAACGAAAACACTTTTCTTTTCTCCTTTGCCATTCTACAGTTGGATGCTGTGTTTGAAACATATGACAAGTTTTTTAATCTAAGTCTTGAAGTGAAAGCTAAGTATAGGAAGAAAAAAATCACTTCCCAAAATGTATCATCTCAAAATGGTTGGGATGCTGTAGAAGCTGAAAGGTATGTGATACCATTGAAATGTATTTAATTGTATATTTAACTCTTTACGATGCTTGGTTTTATATAGTATATACTGTATTTATACTGTATTATTGTTTTATAGAACAAACTTAGACAGACCTGGAGATTTGAAGGAATCTTTTGATCTTGAGTCATTTGATGATGGAACTTTTGTAAGTCTTTCTTTTTTGTAACAAATTTTAAGGGTGAAGAATATGGTTCAGTATGTTACAGTCCTTGTGATCATTATAGCTTTGTGTTTCCTGCTGCAGAATCACATTCAGGGGTTTGACTTGCACTGATATGTATGTTGGATGGTATGAAGCAAGTATGAGTGCTACTCAGCCCTTGACAGTTATTATGTCTACACTGTTAGGGCGTATCTCATCTTCTATGATATTAAGGGATAGGGGAGGGGGATTGATGGAGGGTCAAGACCTGGGTGGGTCACATATGTTGTGTTTTGGACCAGAAAATATCTTCATCCTCCTGGAAATATAAATTGGTTCCAGGGAACTTTCAGGGAAATATGATGAAATACTAGGGGGTTAAACATGTGATGGCCTAGAATGGTGTCCAGGTGGAGTAGTAGTAAGGCACATCATGCTATGGAAATGAGGATAAGCTCTGGACAGAATCATCCACCCACCTGGATCAGATGCCAGTACATCCCAAGGTAACCTTCAGCATTTTGTCAAGATTAAGAAGTGTGAGCTAAGAAGGCATCAAGCAAAGATATTTGCAAAAGTCAGAGAAAACATGACAAGCTCTCACTTGGCTTGGAGGAATTAACAAATTATGCTCTGCAGGCTGTTTCAATTCTTGCATTATGTTATCAAGTAAATTATTTCATTTGGCACTTGGTATTGAATGTAAATTCTCTTTGTCCTTATAGAACTGGCCCAGTGCAGAAGTACCACAATTTAAGAGCACTGTGCACTCTTTTTACAAGTCTATGAGTGATCTTGCATTAAGGATTCTCACTGCAATGGCCATTGGTCTTCAACTGGTATGTTATTTTAGTACAAATTTGTACAGGAATTACAAAGTTTGGCCCAGTTTTCATCATGTGGCTTACTGGTCAAGTTGACGGAGTTACCAAAGATGTAGCCCTGTCATCTTTCATGAGTTAAAAATTAAGCTTCTTTTGCCATTCTTTCTTCCAGGAATCCAATACATTTACCAAATTCTTTAATAAGATGGGAACCATTGAGGGTGCAGTTCAAATGAGGTATAATGCTTATCCAAAGATATCAGATCTAAGTAAAGTCAAACCTGGCCAGATCAGATGTGGAGAGCATACAGACTATGGTGCTATTTCAGTACTGTTTCAAGATGACATAGGTGGCTTAGAGGTACAAGAATGCTTGATTTTACAGCATCAAATGTGATTATAGAGTTTTTCATTATACGTTTTCATGTACATTACACCATGATTTACTAAAACCAAACTCATTACCATTGCCAAAGTATTAGTCACACTTCTACCCAAATTTCCCATAATAATATGTGATAACTAAGGTATATTTTCAGGGCTTCTCTTTTGCCCCACTCAATCATCAGCCTGACGACTGGCAAAGTCACACAATCAAATATCTAAACAGTCTTGTAGCCATTTCCTTTCTTTGCAGATGTTGTATTCATTTTCACTGCATGATGATGGATTGCAATTTTTTAAAATTCACATCCATATTTGTACTTGTTATGTTTATTTGTTCATCTATACCCCTGGGGGGTGGCAGAGGAGGAATGACTTTGTTTGAGAGTGGGAAGCTCATTAGAGAGGGGCTCACTTGGGGAGGAGTATAAGAACCTTGGAAACTTTTGGGCAAATGATGATACTCATGTGTTTTATTTTAAACTCACACTTATTAATTTTCTTCTCTTTTAACATATTTTTACTTTAATGGAAAGGTTATACTTGATCTTTATAGAAACCTTTCACTTTTTCCTAATAAAGGGGAAAAAAGCAAACAAACCGAAAACAAAAATCATCTACTTGAGTCAAAATTGAGTTAATAATGTCCTCACTCTGAGACCATGGAATGTACTGCAACATTCACACGGGACTGCAAAAAATATTTTCCTAGTTGAGAGTCAATGCATTTTGAAGCCAAGCCGTTCAAAACTTTGACAGCTTAAATCAGGGCCAATAACGTAGCCATTATGGTCAAAAATGTGAGAGGTTGTTTATGATTTGTGTTTAAATTGGCTGGGCTTTACCGGTGGAAATAAATGTTCTTCTGAATAATGTCGCAATAGGTACAAAATGTCGATGGCCAGTTTATACCAGCCACACCCATGAAAGGCACAGTAGTGGTGAATATTGCAGACCTGATGCAGAGATGGACAGCTGATAAACTTAAGTCCACGGTATTAAATGTTCCTTTATTGGCTAGTTTGGGAACGAATCTTTTTAGATATTTTCTAATTAGGGGTCGACGAGAACAAAATGTGCTCGTGCAGTGAGAAATATTTTCGGCTATAACAGCATGTAGTATGTTGATGTGAAGTACGCAGTTTTTTGCTACATATAATGTTAATTTTGGAGCACAAGGTCACATTTTTATAGCATCTCTCCACACTTGTCCAGGTTGTATACAGTAGCTTGCTTGTGTGGCAACCACTTGAGATGACGAAAAAGTAAATAGAGGTTTTTCCTTTTTCCTGCACAGCACTAATAGCGAACATTTATTTTCCTACTATGAACTTAATTTTTTTTGTGGTGTTCATCCAAATTAATCTACACAGATTGTTATCTTTTTTTTAGATGATAGGTTCTCTCATTTTCATTGAATGTTCGTTACTTTCAGCTTAGATTCAATCAATTTCAGCTTAAATTTTCAGCTACATTAAAATATGAAAACTTCTTGTTTTTGTCAACCAATTTCTCTCTTCCAGGTCCATCGTGTGTTGATTCCAGAAGCTGAACAAAAACACTCTGTTCCTCGCCGTTCATTAGTATTATTTGTCGACCCAGACCATGATGCACTTATTGAATGCGTGGATGGCTCAAATAAATATCCACCAATCACATCAGGAGAATGGAAGAAGCGAAGACTTCTGGAAACCTACACTGATTTCAAAAAATGATCAACTCGACTGCATCGGACTCAGGATCTTTGCATTGATATTTAATAGAATGCATGAATTTTCTTCTCCATTTTCCTCTCCCGTCAATTTCGTCCCATCGTCACGTGTTAAAGGTACTTAAGCTTCGGTTCATCCTCTCTCCTCCACTTGCACATTTTAGTCATATCTTTCGTACTTACACTGTGTTCATTGGGTGAAAAATGGCGAGCGTGTCGGTTAAGCGAGCTGACGTTTCGAGAGGTAGTCCTTCGTCATCGCTCTGACGATGGGCTAAAGCTCGAAACGTCAGCTTTAAAAACTCGTTACGGTGACCAATTTACATTATTAACTCAGTTGATAAAACCAGATTATCTTGTTATACCCCTCTACTGACGTTACACCACTGTTTCTTTAGATAGTCACGCCCTTTATTTGCTTGAGTAATAGTTTTAGTCACTTAAAGTAATTTAAGGTAACTTGCAGATTGCTTCAGTTTCAAAACGAGCTCTGATGGAAATAATTCAAATACTATCGATTGAATTTTTATAAGATAAGTTTGTGCTTGAGATCATTTTCGTTTTTTCCCTGAGTTAGTCTATTTCCTTGAATGAATGGAAATCCTAGGCACTGCTTAAAATAATGAATAAACCAGGGATAGTGGTGAAGGGAGGGGCTTGTAATCATTCCGTTCGGCGAACTGTAACTCTCCTTGGGTTGAATCTTGACGGTTTTCCTTGTCTCTTCGCCCTTGAAGAAACTCGGAGGGAGAGGAGTGGCGCTTATTTGAGAGAGGATAATTTGGTACAGATTATTCCGTGGAGAACGCGCACGAACGGATTGTTATGCGCGAGTTGCGATGCATTGACAAAAAAAGAACGAGTGAGTATTTTGATGCATCGCGACGACTGTAAAAAATCGTTCAAGCACTTTCCATGCTATGATGTTTTTAATCTATACAAACTGAGATTTTTTCACATTTCAATTCAGTGATTGGAAGGGAACGACTGTGAAAATACATCGTTCGTCCAATCAGAGTCACGAACGACTAGTGTAAATCCCAATATATATGAAATAAAGATTCTTTCGACACTTTTTACAGCACGCATGCTTGTAAGAGGAAATACTTTGTTTTCCATTTGAATTGAATCTGCTTAGCACATTTGAGTGTGTATGTGGATATGGTTAATAGTTAAGTAATAGAACGTAAAAGACTGTTGTAAACAATAAAGTGAAGTGGTGGCGTAAAGTACTAAATAAGGCTGTTGATAAATATTCCTTGCACTGTAATTTGTTTAATTAAATGGTATGGAGTACATTATATGTATCCTTAAAAAAGACGTTGACTATTAGTTATTGACGTTGACCATTAGACTCTTCGATTACGGAAGCCCCCCTCCCCGATCTTTTTGTTTCTGTTTTAACTCTTTTATTCCGTTTTGTTTCATCCACTTTTGAGGTTGGTTGTAAAAGAAATGGATTGGGGAACTGATCTGAAACTGCGTTTGCCTTCTCTAGGTGTTTGGCGGTTTCTATTTCATTTCCATTATTTTGAACGGAGTTTCAACGATAGTGGCGATAGTTAATGTCCTTCTTCATTAATCAAATCATAAAGATGAAGGGTTACTGATATCTAAGCACGTTTAAGGAACGTAACATTGAAAAAGCTCTTGATCACAGGAAAACCGTGTTGCCGTAATAGACGTAACACACAGGTCGTGCTCGATAGTTCCAATCCCTGTAAACGCAAGATATAACTCTATGTGGATTTAGAGGCATATAATTCATGTTATCTTTGAAAATGTGTGTTACACCACCCGTGTAAGCCATAAGCGTAATGACAAGGGGGGAGGAGAGGGCTGGGCTCTCGTGAGAGACGGGTTAACATCAAGGTGCATCAACCGCCCAAGCGAATTTTGAATAGCAACGCAACACCAAGAGCAATTTGATCACCAACCGATTGGTTATTTTGCCCTTCAACGCAACACAACAATTTGTTCAGAAACTAAAAGCCTTGGCGAAGGATAAAGTTTATTACGAAATTTTTCCATAAACATTGCAATATTGAAATTGATAAGATCAGGATAAATCAATATCCCATTATTTGAAAAAAGATCTAAAACTGATAATAATCAAATAAACGATTAAACAATTTGCTTTATTTTGTGTTGAAAAGGCAATTTACCTCAGCTTGAACAGCGAAGAAAACGGCACCTCGCGGGTTTACGCTTCCGTTCAAAGTTCTAACATTTTTGTGTGAGAGACAATCTTGCTATAGGCCAAGATCTTTATGAAGTGGGGTACCGTTTGTCCCTGGATGATCGTTTGAGGATCTTTGTGGCGTATGAATTGTGTCCTTTCTCAACTGAATCGTGCAGATATGTCGATCTTTCAGTGAGAGTTTTTTCCCTTTTTGAATCGTTTACTCGAACCACAGTTTACAAGAATCTCGCCAGTACATATTCAATGCATTAACATGCAAGAAAGAGCATTTCCCAGCTGTTTATAATAAACTCGATATTTTACTACCCTTTGTCGTTGTTGATATTAATAGTGCGAGTGGCTTAGATTTTGAGATAGAGATAGTTTTTTTAAATAGCGTGTATACCGTATATTTTAACTTGAATTTGTCGAACAGCTCCATGTAAGCTTCTTAGCTGCTGATATTCTTCGGAAAATGCGACAGAAGCGTTTTAGATGTGGTTAACCTCACTTAGCAAAATGAAAAATGATTTGTCGTTCAAATTTAGAACAATGTCAAGGGTACTTTCCAGAGGGTCTCCAGCTGAGAGGGTATTCGTGACAAAGGAAACGAGCGTTTTAAAAATCACGCTTTTGAGAGAGAAAAATGACTCGTCTCAGTCCAAAATAGGGAGATTTACTCGGAAATGGCCTTGCTTAGCTACGTTATGGCATTTGGAATCGTAAGATTATTTTTTTTCTCGTGGTTTAAATTTAGACTCTTATCTTTCTATTAATGCCATGGTGGTCAGAGCAGCCAATCTTCCCTTATGGTTTATTAATATGTTATGACCTTCAGCTCTTCTATAAACGAAACGACGTGAAAGTGAAGTGAAATTAATGTTTGCTTATTCATTCGTAACAACCTGATCTATTAAAACTTAATGGAATGGAAGAAGTGTTCTCGAAGATATCGAACTAATCACTATGCAAGGGAGAGAAACTTTTGTCGTTGTCCTTCAGTGGATCATTACTGCGACCGCAATCGTCGGCAATGGCCTTGTTATATATCTGATCACATTCAGGCAAAGGCTTCACTCCAAAGCAAATTGGTTCGTCTTATCTTTAGCGGCAGCTGATCTATTTGTTGGGGCTTCGTTCCTTCCTTATTACAGAGCTTGTAAAGCGGAAGAATTCTGCTACCAGAGACATATTCACTGGCTGTGTGTTGATGTTTTCCTCTGTGCTTCCGTAACAAACCTTTGTTTAATGACTGTCGATCGATACATCGCGATCGTCAAGCCACTGAAGTATCTGACCACTATGACTCAAAGAAGAGTTATGTTCGGCATATTGGCCGCCTGGTGTTTTCCAGCTGCCACGGCGCTTCTGCCTTTATCGTGGACGTACTTGGCCAATTCAATGGCACAAAGGACAACCTGTTGGAAAGTTTTCATCATCGGCACATTATTCGTATATGGAATTATTCCTTGCCTTCTTCTTCCCCTGGCCATTGTGCGAATCTTGCTGATAGCTCGAAGGTGTCGCATAGAACGATGCGTAGTCATAGCCCAGTTAGATTTCAATTATTCTGAGGCAAGAGGCAGAAGACAATCCTTCCCGGCCCACGATATTTCTTCCCCAAAGCTCATCGTTGCTATTGTCATTTTGTTCTTAATTTGTTACCTGTTTGGTGTCTGCGTCCGGATTGCGGCCGTTTTTGGTGAACACATACCACCTGAATCCGTCTATGAAATTTCCTCCGTTCTAATTTTAACCAATTCCGCAGCAAATCCTGTGGCGTATGGATTATTAAAGAAAGATTTCAGGAGAGAACTGCTAAGAACGTACCGATTAGACAGTTCGCCCAGTGATCTTGCTTTAAATGTAAGGATAAATTCAGACTTTACCGGCAGCCAAGGTATAACAACTTAAAAATGAAATTGTGAAAAGAATCTTAGCTTCATACCACTTGTTCCAAAATAGTGCGTATTATTACATTAATTAATTAACTAATTCCATAATTTAAATAAGCAAATAATTTTGGTGAATTCCATGTTTTAAAGGTATAAGCCTGCTTTTATTTAAATCAAATGGACTGAAAAGGAACGACATCACGAACAGTAACCACTGTTGATCTCAGCAGAAATCCATGTTGAATTATTTGTTCAATATTTCGCAGAGCTTTCCCGAGTTGTGCAAAGTTATTATCCTTTTTAACCATCAATGAATATGTCTTTCGGTGATATGTTAGGAAGAAAACAAAACGAAACAAACTAGTTCAAACTTTCTCTGTTTTAATGCCGGCTTCCGCTGTGTCTTAACTACCGAGCGGCGAAATTGAGTTTTCGGAACTGTCGATGAAGAAATGAGTCCTTAGACTTTGTACAGTCATGTCTCTTACGGCCTTTCTTTTCGAAATTTAAACATTTTCTTAAATTCTTTGTTAATGTCTCTTTTGATAAAAGCGTACGGGAAAGGATTAACCGCGGAATTAGCGATCAACAATAGCTTTCTAACGTGATGAAATTCATCAGTTAGTCCACAGACATCAAAGTAGAAACATGCGGATCCCACTACGTCCATTGTGTAGAACAAGATGAAGAGCCCCACCACTATAATAATAATTGTGGCGGAAAATTGTCCTTTGTTCTGCCTGAGATTAATCTGATTAAAACGCAATTGCGCATGCATTACTGCAGTCTGTCGGTAAAGACGTCTTGATATGACCAGAATTTTCCCCGTCGCGCTTAAGAGAAAGACGCAAGGCAATATCTCAAAGAGAACACTGTATATGACTTGGAATAATAGGTGAATGTTCTCAGTTGCGCCGACAAAGTGCATGTATAAGTTTGGTGGTAGATATAGAAGAGGGGGTACTCCCCAAGCGCAACCAGTGAGCAGGAGAACTCGTCTTTTGTTCATAATACGAACGTATTTGAATGGAGTTACGATGACGATATATCTGTCGGTAGCCATTGCACAGAGATTTGCAATGGCGATGGTAGCGAATTGCCACGCAATTATGCCATGGAGAACGTTGTCGCAGGCGAAAGTTGTTTCACAAAAAAACGCCACGGGAAAAAAACAAACGGCGAAAGACAAATCGGCCGCAGCAAGCGACAGAATAAACCAGTTTGTTGTCGTGTGAAGTTGTTTTGTGATGATTATGAGATAAATAACCAGACCGTTTCCAATGATTGCTGTGATGGTTAAAAGCCATGCGATAGTTACGTAACTTGGAATCATATCCATGACTTAGAAGGAAAACAATAGGAAAAGGAAAACATAGATCATTGATATCAGTTGTAAGTGTACGTTTTCTACAGCTCAATGGCGATGAAAAAAGCAGGAGTCCACCAGAATATCATTATCTTGACTGGTTTATCAAATAGTAGATTTTTAAGGCGTTGCAATTAAGATGTTTGTCGATGGTAAATGTAAATAACGATTTTATAATCAATGGCTGAGGTGTCCGGCAAAGTCGCTTGTTCTTTTTATTTCCTGCTGCTGCCTGCTACAAGATATTCCTATGTCTATGTCATGTTAGAACCAGTTCAGATCTATATTTTTAATCCTCTATCGATGAAAACATTTGTCCTGTTGCCCCTCATAAAGACTTCATCTTTTATTGACAAACCTAAATATTAAAATACGTCTTTTTTATTGCTTTTCATGAATTATAAACACAACTGCTGTAAAGAAGAGGTAATTAAGGAGAAACACACCAAGTAGTTAGTATTTTAACAGGTTGCGTTGGCTTCACCGAACCATTTTAAATTCATTATATTGGTGTTAGTAGAAACCAAGTTGTTATCGTTGTGGATTAAACGAGGCCATTCAAATTTCTCTTTTTGAATAATTTGTACATCAAAGTAGCTATTTAGCAATCTCTTTAAAACTGGTATGCATTGGGTAGCAATAACACAGTATTTTTAACTGGTTTAAAGCGTCCAGACTTGTGTTGTTTAATTCTGTGAAATTTTCATGTCTATAATTGCTGGAATTTATGGGGGCCTCAGCCCAATTATCATGACTGTGAACAAGTTAGTTTTGGTTGATATCTTATTAGATGCATACAGCAAACAGCCATTGTTCTTTACGACAGGAAACTTTAAAAAGGGAAAAAAAAACCCACACCTTTCAAGAAAGTCGTTAATATTAGTGGTCGGTTCTATTGAAAAACGAATCGTCAGAACTTCATCGTGTTTTGTCAGCTATTTGTTTTCGACATAAAATCCCCTCGCACTCTTTTTTTATGTCTTTTTTCAAAAATGCATAAGCAAAAGGGTTAACTAACGAGTTCACAATCAACAAGATCCCTAAAAGATCCCGGATCTCAGTCGGTGGGTCGCAGATATGAAGACCAATACAAAAAGACAAAAGAATATTTGTGGCATAGCAAACGACAAAGACAGTTACTACAGCGCATATTATTTGAACAGTTGACATCTCTCTCCGCGTTCTTGACAGTTTGAAGTGACAATCAGGTTCCCCCCTCCATTTGTTGTAGCGTAATTGAGCGACTTGAATGGCGGCTTGTTGACGGTGCTTTTTTCTAATCAATAGCATTCGAATAGTAGTAGTAATTAAAACAACAGTGGGTACTACTTCCATGACTACTATTCGGGTTATTTCAAACGTTCTTTGTAAATCCTTTGATTCTGTCCTCTCTACCAAATACTGAATTGGAGCAAGGGATAACGAAAGAAGCCAGGCTGAAATGATAGCGGCCAAAACACGTCGAGTAGTCACCATAACAACGTATCGTAATGGCAGTGCAATGGAGATATACCGATCGATGGTCAGAACAACCAAATTTGTTACAGAAGCATACATGAAGACGGACGCCACCATAATGCGGTGTCCACGATGGCAATGGAAGAACACATTGCAGAAAAACGAAGCCGGAAAGTAGCTCAAGACAAAAAGGAAATCGGCCAAGGCCAGCGAGAGAATAATCCAGTTGGGAAGAGTGAACAATCGGCGTCTGGTTATGATTAAGCATATTGTGAAACCATTGCCAACGAGGGACATAACACTCAGAATCCAACCAGTAATCCAGTACCATGCTGCCATCGGGATATAATGGACACTACGTAGCTTTTGCAGTAAAATTCAAATTCCGAAAAGAACAACCAAAGTGTAAGCTTTACAGCTTTCTTTGAAAAAAATGTTGTTTACGCGGGTTGCGAAATAAATTAACTTATTGTCTACATAATAGCTTTTACAGGTTTCTAATTAAATTAATTTTGGGTTTGTTTTATAAGAATGATGTTTACGCTAAGACAAACTGACGTGACTAAATATTTTGAGAAGGTAATAAACAAATCAATGAGATGCAGTAGGCACTTTAATTTTTTGCGAGAAAAATTAACCAAGGATGGCTAAGGAAATGTTGCGAATGACCTACAACAGATGTTTTGAATGATGGATAATGGGTAACAAAGCTTAAGGTTGCGTTTTCTAGTTTAGGAATTAAGGTAACGATTCCTGAATCACTTTATTTAAGGTTATTGGCTTATGTTCAGTTGTAAATGATATTAAGGCGTGTATTTGAACACATGCTGATGCTTTGTAGTGAATTATTGAATTAAAAAAATGCATTCGATTATCCAGCTCACTATGCACCCTAAGTAACGCGATAATTTGTGGGGTAAAATCACTGGTGGTAAATTGTACTTCAACGCATTTGGCATGAAATACTCGCTAGCAGCTTGATTTACCAAGACATTTGAAATTGTTTGCTCTTATAATATATATAGTTATTTTACCTTCCAGTGAGGACCCTTTGTCACCGAGAGGGAAAATCCCATTTCGATTTTAGAATTCTAGAAAAAGGCGAAACATTTGTAGATTCTAAAGCATAAGACATTCTTAATTGGGATCGGGACTGCTTCATGGGGTGAAGCCAATAAATGTTTTAAATTTACTGGTTGGTCGAGGCTGAAAAATTGCTTTCAAAGCCAGAATCACATTCATTGATGCTACCGTACAATTCTCAAATCTGATAGGCTAATCAGTGACCCGATTTCATTTGCTGGACTGATCTTAGAGTAAACGTAGCACGAGGGTATTAGTCAATAAGTACTGTATTTGGATAATAACTTACAAGATGGCTTTATTTATAATGTAAAGTTAAGCTGCTATAGTCATTAATCATCAAAAGTCATAAAATCTTAGGTGCCCGAGTGAGGATCAAGCTTGGACATGTCTCTGTTTCTTTCACCTCAGCACTTCATCATCATCATCATCATCATTATCACTATTTTAGTCATCTTGCATGAACATTAAGTCTACACAAAGACCTAACAAGGAGACCTCCAGAGGCCCACAATTCCAATCGAACGGGCCGCCTCTGGTGAAGAAACTTTCGCTTAAAACCAACCTTTATATTTTCCTTTTTTATTATTCTCTTCGTAAATATTGACCTTTAGACTATTGATCGTTCACAAGTATTTGAAATATTGAATTCTAGATAGTTGCTTTTTATGTTGATGATTTTATCAGTGAACTCTTCCTTTGCTTTAGCTAAGCAAGTTATTCGGAGTTTATATACATTTTTGTACATAAAGCACGATTTGTTTTCGTTCTATATCCATCTTTAATTAGTTATGTAAGGTAGTTGATAAAATTATTCTTACATGCTCACCAGTTCTTCTTATAATTATGCAAAGTCTACGTTCTACTTAAAAAAATATAATCACAAACGAAGATGCAAAATTAGCTAGCGTCTTGACGAGATTGCAAGTGCTGATTTATAAAATGAGGAGGAATAATCTGAAGCGACTAAAGAGTTTCATTTTGTCTTGACAGGCCAGCAGTAACAAAAATCAATTTTACTGAAATAGCTTCAGATTCAGTATAAAACGAGGTTATGGGGGAGGTGAATTGGAAGCAACCCGAAAAGTATTTGCTCTGTGGCACGAAAGCAGTAATCTTCGTTTTCTTTGTTACCAAGGCAAAACAGTGTGCACGCTGCGAGCAGGATTCGAACCTGCGCGGGGAGACCCCATTGGATTTCGAGTCCAACGCCTTAACCACTCGGCCATCGCAGCTGTGATTAAATGTGTAGGTCGAGTGAGCTTTTAAGAAATCTTAGCAACGTTTTTCAATGTTGGAAACATAAATATTCAAACAGTTCATAGATTCAAAGATAAGTCCATATAACAAGAAAAGCCTTCGAAAAGAAAATGCTTAAAGAGTACTAACGCACTTTACATGTACCATTTGAGAATGTATATTTTATCCACATGTTGGAAAAGCTCCCCATGATACTGAAATTCACTCTTAATTCGTTAAATTCAGTTGCTCTGTTGACGATCAACAAACGGGAAAGTGATCAGCATTAGCTGAGTTTCTTCGTACCACACTCACACTACCGTGTCACAAAGGACTTGATAGAGAGGTCATTTATCACCGTTTACTCAGCACCACGACTTAAGGACAAAGCTTATTTGAAGCACTATAAAAGAAGATTGCATGAGATTTTTCATTTACTACCTCACTTTTTATTCATTTGTTTTATTACATGTCTTGAGTGGCGTTCTTACGAAACCGTACGTAGCAACCGTAACTAATCTGACAAGAATTTGTGCCAAAACAGAAAATATGATAGTATGTCGTACTTATATTATCAGATGCAATATCAGAGATGTTCATGTTAAAATGAGATAATGAATCTCATCAAATCTTTAAAACTAATGTTCCTAGAATTTCATGAAAAGGTCTACAAGGTCTTACCAGGGCATAATACTCTAGAATCTTAACCACATGTATACGGAACAGATTAGCCATAATTCATGGCCTCCAAAGTAAAATGTTTGAGTGGGGATCTCTAGGGCTAAATGAGAGCGAGCGCAGTGGGGTGGGGTTGGTCTCGTCAAGTTTCTCAAGTAGATTCTCACATGGGTACATCCTTGTAAAGTGGTGTGATTTGATTAATGTAAGCGGAAAAGCGCGCACCATTTGTAGCACTGATACAAAATGTTTCAAATTATACATATGTAACATCCTTTTCCAAGGTGAATGTAAAGCCCTCTTAACTTTTAGTTTATGAAGCGTCGCGATGGTTAAGGCGTTGGATATGAAAGCCATTTGGGATTTCCCCGCGCATGTTTGAATCCTGCTCGCAGCGTGAGACTTTTTAATTGGTTGAAAAATAGATGGATAAATACGTTTACCTTTGTTGGAGTTTTGCATATGAAATACTTATTAATTGAACCATATATTACCAAACTGTTGTTCAAAGTTTAAAGTTAAAATTTTTCTTATTGTTCTCATTAGTTTATGAAGCAAACACGATTTGACCAAAAGAAATGTTTGTCTCCAGTCCCTCTCAGTGATGATTTTATTTTAAGAGAGTGACATAAAGCGTAGCTGCAGGACGACTAATTGAAAAAAGAACCAATTATTTGAATATTGAAACTTACTAGAGATTTTAACTTTGAGCTGGCAAAAGTGAACCGAACAAGTTTCAGATAAAATTCTTGCAACTATCGTACTAGGGTTTACTGAATCTTATCGCTCAGTTTCTCAGCTCAAAGCCGATTTGCTTTAAATTAGTTCTACCAAGACTTACCAATGGTGGCATACTTCATAACATGGTAACGGTTGTTAGACAAGGAAGATTCTCTTTAATTTACATAAACATATGATTGTAGGCTTTCTGAACCTAAATTTGAACATTTCATGCAACTATTAGGTTTTGCAAGGTTACAGAAGCAACATTGTTTTGTTGAAATGCATGTATTTCTTTGCATTTCAATTTCCTATGCTCGAGAAGGTGAAAAAATAAACTCTGTAATTATGAGCCATTTTGGTATTATTCATAAAGCCTAAGTATCTATACTTTTCCTGGCTATGAAGGTACTAAGGAGCTGCGATGGCCGAGTGGTTAAGGCGTTGGACTTGAAATCCAATGGGGTATCCCCGCGCAGGTTCGAATCCTGCTCGCAGCGGCAGATACTTTTGGAAAATTTTTGTAAATAAGGGGGAAGCTTAACCCATGATCCTGATAAGAATTTCGTCTAAAAGATTCAGAGAAGGGAATAACACGTATCTTTTCTCTCCATTCTTTTTAACCCGGCAGACTGGAAGCGATAAAAAAATCAAACGGCCGATGGTCTCAGGTTCAGGAGGCGGTGGTGGATGAGATGCAGAAAGGGAGGGAATAGCTGGTGTCTAGTGGGCTATTGGCTAGTGAGTGGAAGAACGAAATGTGATGGTCATTTCTCAACGTAAAGATCATTTGGAATTCATCTTCGCTCGTTAAGGTATCTTATAATGACTGGTGCACTGGTTTCATCGGTTTAGTTAATTCGCCGGGAATCACCCGCTAGCTACATAATTGGGGATCAGTAATGTCATGTCAACGAGTGAAATCAGGAACTTACGAGCTAACGTTGCCAAGCAGGACCCCGTTTCTCAAAAGTCTCGAACAAATTTTGTCAAGAAACCAGGACCTTTGACAAATTAAACGGGCCCATAAAAGCCTTTTTTCAAGTGGAGCCTTAATGAAAGTACAAAAGCTATTTAAGCCTTATACTGAATTGAGAATGTGAGACCACCATTGCACGAATAAACGTTATGGCCGATTTTACCTGACCCAAAGTACGATATGGTGCTCATTTTGAGTGCAGTCGCTCTTCACCAAATCCTCTACTCTTCAATTTTCAATTCAAACTTGGTCGTCATTATGTTTGTTTTGGCTTTGTAGGCTTGAATCATACTTGAAAATAAAGATTTTATATTTCACGTGGTTAAATAAAAAAAAAAAAGGCTCAAAATCATTATTCGGCTCAAAGAGACCTTTTGTTTGTTGCATCCTATTTCTATTTGCCGCAGTCGCTAAAATTTGCAGTGAGATTTCAGCAATGTACAAAAATGTAACACAATTGTACATTTTCATTCGGTTGTGATTCACAACCTTTGTTGTTTAGACTGCGATTAACATATCTAAATCTGCATGCAAAGCACGCTTTGAAGCATAGCCATGCGATAGATCTATCACATCGAGGACCAGCCAGAGATATTTGCACTTTTTGCCGGGCGGAACAACTTATTGTGGTTTCTTCTTCTTTTTTTATTTTAATTTGAAGGCAGCCAAGGATTAATTGTGCATGTTGACATGAGGGCTCAAAAGAAATTGGAAGAATCAGGGAAAAACATTCACTTTTGAGCTGAAGATGCTTCCACGCCGGCTGGTGAGTTTAAGAATCAAAAACCTAAAAACGTGTAGCTTAATTATGTTAATTTTGCCCCAGATTATAAAATAGGTATTTCACTTATGTATACTCAAAATGTGTAGATATGATTGCGAGTTAGGATTACTTAAATTGTTCAACTGTTGCCTTTTCGACAGTTGTTGTCGTCACATAATTATTAGTGTCTGTCTTTGACATGTTGGTAAACGTTTGCTCAGTCAAAGTCAGCAAAATTTCAATCGCCCTGATGAAGGGCTTACGCTCGAAACGTCAGCTTTTTTATCCTTTACGGTGGCCAATTTACGTTTTCAACTCAGTTGTTAACACTAAATTACCTTCTATACTCTCCCACCGACGCAGAACCACAGTTTCTTTAGAAACTTACCTCCTTTATTCAAAGTCAGCAAAGTTGTGTAGGAAACTTTGGAAATGCTTACACCACGTTCGCACCCAGTGATTTAATATGTAATATCCCACTACCGTAACCGTGTAAAAGAATCAAACCATACCTTTTCGCATCTCCTTTTGAGAAAGGGAGTAACCCATCAGAATGACGCAAGAAAACGAGTGACTCGGCTAAAATGAAATTAAAACGAAGGATAGACGGAAATTCAAGGGCGTGTTATTTTCATAATGTGAAGTCGTGCTTTTGATAGCATATCCTTCTTTACAAAGGAAAACAGGCCGAAACCAGGATCCTCCCGTGGGAAAAATACTTGGACTCCAAATATCCGATTGTAAAAATGTTCATTATATACATAATCATAACGTCATAATGTTAGCCTACCAAGAGACATCAGAAATCCCTCTTCCATTTTGCTGATGTCGAAAAGATTGAGGCAACGTGACTTGTAATCACATCAGGATTCTCGCGCCATTCCCCAATTTGAAAGTGTTAAAGTTGTTCCAATGTAAGACTATGACGCCAAACAATTCAGAACTCATCAAAAATGCAGAGCATCAAATTTTACGTTGCCGATAAGTGTTATTTCAGTCCATTTATAATCGAATCAAATCGCTCCTCCAGAATGTTTTCCTAACAACTTCACGTGGGTCAAGTATGATCAAAACGGTTTATTTGAAATGATCTTTTAATGAGACTTACTTTTCACATTGTTTGCTCAAGGAGCTTTGAGAAAAAAATAAACATGACTAAGGGGAAAGGAGAACCTAAACGCAGTGAAATTAACTATAAATCAACTTCACTCAGTCCTTGAGTTATGTGGGGAGATAATCCAAATATCCGATAACATGCAAACGAATTTGCCCCTAAATCTTATTAATTTGATTCTAATTGTACAAGTACATACATATTTCCTGCTAAACGACGTTTGTTGACAACGATTGGAACACAAGGGAATGAAATGCTAATTTCGCCTGCCCCTTTCAAATGTTCATGCCTTTGTTGAAAGACTTGTGGATCGCCTGACTGCTGTAGTTGATCTCCATTTGCAGAATGTTTTCCTGAGCTCTCTTTTTATGTCACATTTATACAAGGCATAGGCGATCGGGTTTGCTGCCGAGTTTGTTACAACCAGAAAAAACACAGCTCTGCGCAGATCCTTTGTTAACTCGCAGAACTTGGTAAAATGACATAAAGAGCTGTACACTTCAAGAGCGTAGCATGCAAAAAAAATAGCCACAACTGTTGCAATTACACGCGCCGATGAAACCCCCTTTTGACCTTTATGATTCGGCTGGTTATGTTGCAATTGATTATTCATCTTCGCAAGTTGTCGACAGTGCCTCTTTGCAGTTACTATTATTTTTGAGGTTACAGTCAGAAGTAAAACACATGGAATGAACTCGAACATGGAGGTCCACACGACGACAGTGATGTTGACGTTTATAGTACAACCATGGAGACTGGTGCAGAGTGCAGGGATAAAATAAGACAACAACGGCGCACACCACGAGAAGGCGATCAGATATCGAGCCCGCCTTGTTGTCATCAATGACATGTAGGTGAGAGGCCGTACAATGGCCAAGTAGCGGTCAATAGTCATCGCGCATAGATTAATATTCGATGAGTAAATCATCAGCACGGCAATATCATCGGCGATTTGATTTCTGCAGTTTGATGCAGTTAAACTGCATATGAATTGCACTGGAAAACAACAAGCACCTACACCGAAATCCGCAAAGGCTAGAGACAGTACGAAGCGGTTTGGGACGTTTCTGAGTCTGGGCCTCGTGCAAATCAGATAAATCACCGCTCCATTTCCAAAAATAGCAAATACTGAAGGAATCCAGCCAAGAATCCAGTACCAATTCATTTCTGAATGTACACAAATGGTGCTGCTTTAAGATTATAATCGATATGAAACGAAGATCAGGCGCTGGTGCAAGGAAGTTGACATAATCACATAATTTGCTGAAGGACCCCCTATCAAGCAATTCTGAATGTGTCATCACTTGTGAATATGAATAATTCATTCAAATCAAATCAATTTGTCGCCAGAGGAAAATTTTCATAAACTGATGAAACAGAAGAAGGAACAATGCGATAACTCTAACAACAAGTCTTGCGGTCTTATTCACATATGACCGTATAAGGTAAAAGCGCTCTTCTCTATGAGAAGATTATCCCACAAGCCTTAATTGTGTGCTTACAGAGGTCTACAAATATTGGTTCATAATTTAAATCCGGCTGCTCATAAAACGATGCACGGCAGCCACATTAGAAGTTACTATGAATATCGTCACTAAAAATATCGTTGACCTAGTTTTAATCTCATCCGCACTCAGGTCTAAGTGTTTGTAAAGTGGCTGGTAACTAATCATTCAGCCTGACAAAGACTTAAATTTACAATTGTGAGAGGAAAGGGAAGAAAGTAATTTTTCAATCTTTTTTTAGGTATTGCATTATCGGGTTGACTATTTTCATTACAAAAAGGGAAGGGTTATGACGAAATTTTGTGACAGACTTTAATTTGATACGTGATCGGTTCAGCTTAAATTTAAAACATCAGTGGTTTCCCTAATCAGGATTTTGTGGGGATTAACCGCTCATTTGTTATGTATAACCAATTGTTAAATAGAGAGGTTATATTTTTATTTCTTAAGTGAGGACTTCGACTAAGTAAACAATACAGTTGCCAGATGAATTTCATTAACAGCTTAACCAAGTTATCTTGGGTTACCGTATGATTAATTTCATTGCGGGTTAGGGTTTTGGGTGACTAAAACGCGACCGAGTCAGTTACCCTTCCCGGGGCTTGTAACCTTACCAAAGGAGTGCCTCTCGCTACTGTGTAACATGTAATAACTCTTAACAGTGGATGCTTATTTCTCGATTTATTTCAGTCTATCGAATGTGAAGGTTTTTTCGTGTGTGTTTGAGATATCTTTATTCTACAGCTCGAGTACTTGTGTTCGTTTTCGTTCATGAGTTCAAAGCATATTTCTTACAATTTTCATCTCTGATATTTACGCATGCTGCCTAAAAACGAATTTTAAATTAGTCAAAATGAACCCGTAACGCTTCTTTTTATCGAGAAGTTAAAAGAAGTATTGACTGAAGAAACAGAGTCAGTTTACACAAGTATGTACTCAACACATTAATTAAGCAGATTTTGTCATTTAAATTGGCTTTACTATGTTTAGCTTTATGGCTCAAGGCTACAACATTCTTGCATCAGGCCTATGAAATCCTAGCAGAACGAAGATTTGTTGAAAATTCTTAGCAAGAGAACGAGCGTAAAGATTCTCAAGACATTTTATATGATAAAACGCTACTGGTAAATAAGCGAAAATCTCCTTCGATGATTTTTCTGTCTTTTCCTTTATTGTTTTTTCTGATCACTTTTCTGCTCGTTAATGTATAAATACCGGCGAGTTCTGACTGACAACCGTTCTGAGACAGAGCTGTCAAACTCTACTAGTAAGTTAATAATTATTATTCTCAGTTTTCTATTTTTTGCTCTGACCTGTCCATTTCATATCTTAGAACGTCGTCAGCCTTCGAATCTAATGTCACTTTATTCAAAGCCATTAGTAATGTGGTCTTTCCGGCATTTAGATAATTGGTCTGCTTCAAAGTAAATAATGAACCATAACGTATGCAGGCAACTGAACTTTTTCTTTCCAGATAAAGAGATAAGGGTTGTTTAAAACAACACAAAAGTTTCTGTTGACCACGCTAAGGCTTGATTTTTGCTCCGTTCGCGAAGAAATAATTAACATCCGGCTTTGTTTCTGAGCTTGCTAACTTATTAAAAAATTGAAGATATCTAAACCAGCTGCTGTTTCAGTCATAGATCGAGGCATCTTCTTCTTCCCTCTCTGTTTCCTTCATGTGATTAGCAAAGACATCGTCCAAGTCCTGCCTAGTGTTTCCAGAACATCAAGATTTTTAAAGCATCTCTAAATTCTCGTTTTCTAACAGCATATATCCATGGATTGATAGCTGCATTGGAGTAGGCGAGAAACAGCGCCCATGTTCCCCAGGATTCGAGTGTTTTCTTCGTTTGGCACGGAGCATTCTTCCCTGAAACAACCTCATGGATGGAAAAAGCCAGAGCAGGCAAGGTTGTCATGTAGAATACGCCAATAACAACTGCAATCGTTAAAGACGCCTTTCTATTGTGCGTTTGGTTTGTTGATCCCGAACCGGCTTGCAGCTGTTCATTGGCTCTCGGGTGACGATATGTTTCCTTAAATATACAGACATAGCAGTACGAAATAACAATTCCCGGCATAAAGAACACTGCAAAAACGGCCACAAACCAGTAGGTATCCTCATGAATGGCGAAACAAAGGCAAGCGGTGATGCCTGACAGAACCCACACCGACGCTACCGCGTACTGAAAACGTCGAACGGTTACTATTTCGTTGTAGCGTAAAGGCAAGATAACACCAACATATCTTTCTAAGCTGAGAGTGCACAAATTATACGTCGAAATCCCGACGAAAAAAAAGTAAAAGCAGCGCACAGCAAAACTTAATGGGTCCTCCTCGTCGGCGACTTTTAGAAGAGAACGTGCCATCCAAAGTGGAAGGGCGACAATTCCGACAAGGAAATCACCAACTGCTAGAGAAGCAATGAAATAATATGTGACAAAATGGAGTGCTCTTTTCTTGAAGATTGCAAGGATTGTTAATGCGTTTGTTGTAGAAGCGATAAAGGAGATAAAAAGACCCAGAAAAGTCGTCAATACAATGTTCCATCCCTCTGTTGGTAAGGCCTGGCACGCTTGGTTGGCCATTCCTTTCTTCTGTTGACGACGATGGCCAAAGTATGCCGTTAATTTTATTCTGCCACGTTTGACATCCAACGCAAACTTCACTAAAGATTAAAGATATTGAGTTCCGGCTGTCAATAACGGGCCATGTGGCTATACATACCCATGAAAACGAGTCTGATTCAAAGGACTTGTTTTGGACTCATAGATAGATATATGTTATCAATAGCTTTTGCAGCGTGAATTATCATTTAAAGGATGTCAACGCTAAATTTATTTTATTCCCTCTAATGAACATCTTAAAATAAGATTTTGCCCGTTTTATGAAAGTTCCACATTATAATTTATATTTCAAGTAATAAACACAGTTCGAACTAATTACTGAACGGCAGGTAAGGAAATTTCAAAACATTTAAATACGATGCATCAAATAATAGCCACATATCTTTAAAGAGAAGCTAGAGAAATGCTGGCGCTATTCTAACCAATCTTATGTTCACTTTCAAAGTAACGTTATGGGCCCACCAGACATTATCATTATTTGTCAAAAACGTTCATTTTGTTTTTAGTTAGACTTCAATCAGTTTAGTGTAAAGGATTAATCATTAATGAAGAAAATTTTCATCACTGGCAGAAATGCAACTGTGCCAGCGAAAAGTCAAAAGTTCATTTTGAAGAAAAAGTATTGCAAGGAGCAGAATCTATTAAGACAATGGAAGGCAAATTTTCCAAAATCACAAGCAGTTGACTTAAGATGCAGAAAACGATACCGATATTGGTGGATATGATTTCAGCTAACTTCTCAAGGGAAGAATTGGAACTCTTGAAGAAATTCTGTATGTTACCGCATACCACTTGGTCTATGAAACTGAAGGTCTGTTTTGCTATGGAAACGAGCTCTAGCAATTTTTAAATACCGTATGTCTATCAGCATGGATCCAATATCTTTTTGTGTTTGCTTACCAAACGATCAACAAAGTTTACTAAGGCTTTTATCCTCAGTCAGCCTGCGCCATGAAGCTGATTTCACAAAAGAAAACACGTACCATTTCTGCAGGCCAAGAACGTCGGAACAATGCTATAGGCCTTTTATAACAGTAGTTTTATATTTTCTCTAAAAACGTGGGGCACATTTGACTTAAAAGAAATTGCAGTCAATTAAATATGGATCAACGACCCTTGGAAAAGCCCTTTCCTTTTTAAAGGACCCAATTTTCAAACTGTAGGCGAGATCATTTGGACAAAGGAAGGAGATTAAATTGAATATTTATGTCACCGCAGCTGTTTTAGATATTTTTTCTCTTTCAGCTTAAATGCAAATTTTACTTCTGAGATCTTCTGACTCAGCCAGTTTCAGTGAAGTCTTCACAGCTTTCTTTTTTATTTCAAAGCGATTACATATTTCAGTGCTTTACTAAATGTAATGGGTGAAGCTTTTAGAACTCCAGAATGCCTAAGTTTTACTGATAAGCCAAGATCCGACAATTTAAGCTATTTATTTTTTCGGATTGAATTGTTTGTGTTATTTGCATATCAACGTTTGCTGTTCAAGGAGGAATAACTAATTCTCAATGAAAACAATTGACACCGAAAAATATACATCAGTACTTTTTTTGAAATCTACGTGAGTTGTTTATTCCAACAAAAAATTAAAACAAAATTCTGCTTCCGTGCGAAGTTTCCATTTTCGTGGAACATAGCCTCATTGTATTTCAATTTTTCTTTATCTTCACGGGGCTGTATTTGTGGTCTTCCACGAAATAGAAAAGTCCAAAACTTTTTTATTTGCTTTCCATCTTGATGATTAAAAAATAACTTACACAAACTGACCATAATAACTTATGCCTAACACATGTAGTTCCAAATCTTCAACACCTTTAAAGCATCTTTAAATTCGCTTTTCCGGGCAGCATAAACCCACGGATTAATGGCTGCATTCGAGAAGGCAGAAAAGAGCGCCCAAGTTCCCCAAGACTCGAATGATTTTTTCTGTTCACAAGACATTTGCTTTTGTGAGACCAGCTCAGCTATGGAAAAGGCCAAAGCTGGTAGGGCTGTCAAATAAAACACACTGATAACTATCGCAATGGTCAAGGACGCCTTTCTGTTGTGGATTTGATTCACTGGTGAAGGGAACCCCCTCTGCTGAGCAATAGCTCTTGACTGTCGGGACGCTTCTTTGAAAATGCAAACGTAACAGTAAGAAATGGTTATTCCCGGGAAAAAAAATAATGTAGATATGGCCACCAACCAGTAAGAATCTTCATCAATAACCAAACGAAGGCAGGCGATACTGCTTGAAAGAACCCATACGGTCGTTACTGCATACTGAAGTCGTCTTCTGGTTGCGATGACGTTGTACCGCAAAGGCAAAACAACTCCGACGTATCTCTCTAAGCTGACTGTACACAAGTTATATGTTGATGTACCAACAGACAGAACATAAACGCAGTCTACAGCTACACTAAGGGGGTGTTCCTCGTCGGCGATTGATAACAAAGATCTTGTAATCCAAAGTGGAAGAGCAACGATTCCGACAAATAAATCACCAACTGCTAAGGAAGCTAGGCAATAATATGTGATTGTATGAAGTGATGGCTTCTTATAGATAGCTGTGAGTATTAATACGTTTGTTGTAGACGCGATAATGGAGATCAACAGGCCGAGAGTCGTGGTTAACACAATGTTCCACTTTGATGTAGGGAGCGTTAGACATAATTCGTCGGCCATGCTGTACTACTAGTCAAACATAGCTGTTTGCTTGGTAATTATGTGTGTAAATAATTTGACTGCAGATGGATTAAAAATTTCGAAGGGTGGCTTTCTTGCGATCAGCAATTGCGTGTTACTGATTGTGAAAACGAAAATTGTATACTTAAAGAGTTGAATGTATGAATATTACGTAACATGTGTCTTTCTTTTCTTTTTTAAAGACTTTTTGCCCTGACCAAGGTAGCTTTTAAAAAGGCGGCAGCTGATTAGTTCCTAAAGAAACTACCATGCTGCGTCAGCGGGTACGGAAGATATTTATATTTATAAAGATATTTATTTATATTTATATATAAAGATAATTATATATTTATGCAGCCTTAAAAATTCTCCACGGCAGTTTATCCATCTTCATCATGAATTTGATAACCTACACTATAAATAAAGGGGTAAGTTTCGAGCGTTAGCCGCTGAAGGGCTAACGCTCGAAACGCCAGCTTTTTTACCCTTTACGGTGGCTAATTACGTTTTCAAACCTGTTGTTAACACTAAATTACCTGCTATACTCTCCCACCGACGCAACACCACAGTTTCTTTAGAAACTTACTCCTTTATTTATGGCGTAGATCGTCAAATTCATAATGATGAAGATAGATCAACTGCCGTGGAGAATTTTTAAGACTGAACTTTCATCACAAAAGGTTACCTGTCACATTTTAATTTCTTGACTAGTTAAATGATTTCAATAGATTGGGGCTGTTAGAACAACCGTTCTGCGATATATGCCGATACATTGTTCCAACTAAAATATTATTCAAATATCGTCGTTAAATGGCGATTAACGCGATAGTGGACGCCTATCGTTTACATTACTTTTGTAGCAGTACTGTACGCGTCTGGATAAACCTGAATTCAAAGAAGGTTCACGATGACTGTTAGTGAGAATTTTAGTACTAAGCAACTGATTTTGGGTAAAAAAGATTACCCGTTAGATGGATAAAACGGTGAAACCAATAGCAACAGTGGAAATGCCTTGGGGTTCTCACCGTTCATTGAACCAAATTAACATTTGAAAGGAGAGTCATTATGCAGTGTTGAACCAGACGACTTACATTTTGCAATGCATAAAGTTTTTCTTAAACCATGTAATTATGAACTGCCGCGTACACCTGAAATCTTCGATGTCGTGACAAACGTTTACGCAATTACAAAGGTGATCGCAGTAGAATATGCCATAACTTATTTGCTATTAACTTTACAATTTCAAAATAAAGTTAAGGTTCCTGTTGATCTTCAGGGGTGTCTTTCGGAAACTACTAAGTACAAGCGTCGCTTTTGACGAAATCGTTAAGGTTAAGAAAGAGCAGAAAATGAAAAAGTATAATAACATAGCTAGTAAATTTGTCTAATCAAATTCAATTGCGCGAGCGTGCTTCATATTCCTATTGTGCACGCTCATGACGTCAGCAAACAAATCCCTCGCGAAAAAAATTTTTCCATCGGGTTGAAAATGTTATAAAACAATTGGTTCATATATCAGCTGTGCGTTCATCGAGATATGAAGCACGCGGGAAGTTTGGAGAGCAAGAAAGATGCGTAAGAGTTGCTCGAGGCGTAGCCGAGAGAAACTCTAGCTTCTTGAGTGCTCTCCAAACTTCCCGCGTGCTTCATATCTCGATGAACGCACGCTGACGTATGAACCAATTGTTAAATTTTTAATGATTTGGTTGAAAATGTTATAAAACAATTGGTTCATACATCAGCTGTGCGTTCATCGAGATATGAAGCACTTGGGAAGTTTGGAGAGCACTCAAGAAGCTAGAGTTGCTCTCGGCTACGCCTCGAGCAACTCTTACGCATCTTTCTTGCTCTCCAAACTTCCCGCGTGCTTCATATCTCGATGAACGCACGCTGACGTATGAACCAATTGTTAAATTTTTAATGATTTGGTCCAATGGTAAGTGCGCGCAAGCAATTAAACACAAAACTAACGATGATTGACAAATTGAATTACCTGCCTTTGCGTTCGCATGCACAAGAAAATACATTTCACAGTGCCGATCAAAAAACGATCGATGGACTACAAAAGCGTGTGGGGCTTTTGCGAGCTTTGGACCCGTAGGTTCCCTGTAAATTTAAACAGAGTTATGTTGCATTTCGATGACCAAGTAAAAAAAAAAAACAAAAAAAACAAAAAAAACAATCATTTAGCGAGCGACAGCAACCCTAAAGTGTTAGTGGCATTTATTCAAACGAAGACAGAAAAGCACAATTAAGTCAGTTCATTTATGTTAGTTTCTTGATTTTAAATCTGCGAAACCTACCCTCTCATTGTTAGATCTGCAAGGAAGTCGATTCACTTAACAACAGGTTTATAAGTGCGATTGCTATGGACACTTTTGTTGTAGAATTATATTGTATCTTGTTGGATGTATCGATAACTGATAGTAATGGTTCCCTTAGAATTAGGGTTTTCAAGAATACTTCAACATTTTTGCAATAAAACGAGTTTCAGTTCGTTTCTTTTACTTTTTGCAGCCCAGTAATCCAATGATTTTGGGGGGGAATTTGGGAAAAAAGGAATACGCGTCATTTTTTTAAAGGAAAAATGCACGACCCCTCAGGACAAGTAGTCTTTAAAAAAAGTACGATTGCTAAGTAATTCTAGATTGCATAGAAAATATCATTTCGTTACTTGTTTATAACTTAAAAGCAAGCAATTTGCGCAAATAACATGCAAAAAAATTATTTAAACCTGCAAATGGCATCTTAAAACAAGACAAGACGAGACAATTTTGTAGTCAAACGTACAATTTCCTAAATGGTGTTTTTTTTCAGAAATTTCTAAGCCGTAAAAATCTCAAAGCTCCGCTGAACATGTTGATGTAAAGTTTGTAATTAATGAATCAGATTTCAGCGGTTTGTTTATATAGCTTTTGGCGAAGATTTGAATACAAAATCCAAATTAATTTGGATTTCAGCTATCGTGACGAATGACTGATTGAGCCTGTCAGGTCTGAATTTTATTAGTTGACGTGCTTAGTTAGTCTGCTGACTTCTCCTTGGATCGCATTCAGTTAAAAATTGATCGTTTGATTAGTTGTTGTTCATTTGCCACTTTCTTGTGACAGTGTTTGGGCTATTATTCTGATAACAAATGTTTAATTTTCCGAGGTTGCTTTGGCTACATTCACATTTCTGCCTACCGATAGTGTGTATAAAAGCATGAGCTTTTGAGTTAGTAATTAGTGAGAATCAGAGAGAGGGAGTCAGTCAACCGAATGAATAACTGAAGAGAGAGTAAGAGTAAATCAGAGTCAATCAGCCAATCAGAGTGAGGATGGTTAAAGGGAAAAGAAAAAAGGAAAAGAATTTTCTGCATCAGAGAGCAGAGAGTAAAGACGGCTAAAAACACAGGTTGAGAATCCTTGGTGCCTTTCGATTGGGGTGGTGCGCTCTGTCGCTAGTTTCTCCTGGAATTCAGGAGAAACTGAATTTGTACTGAATTCAGTCTTTTCTACCCTCTATTAACTTTCGTATGTATTTTGGTCAGTTAATAACTACATTGCTTACAACCAATCAGAATAAAGAGGTTTTCATTTAGATAAGTAATAATTAATAACAAAACTAAAAAGCATTGACATTACAGAGAAAGGAAAATAGCAATTAAAAATACAGCAGGATTTTTTTTAAAAATTGCTTTACATTAATAGTTTACCAATAGAAGGATAAGCTTATCTTCTAACAGAAACCTTGATTTCCCCTTTATTAAACTTTTTTTTAGATTCATCTCCCTCATTATCTGTGCTATTTCTATCTGCCTCCCAACATTCTCCGCATTTTGAATACGAAATTTAAGCGGTAATTCTTCCCAAAAATTAAGCTGGTTATCTTTGTATTATGCTCTACCGCCAGCCATTAAACTGCTAGCTAGCCAGTATAAAAAACAAACTATTGAGATCTTGAAGATAAACAGTGGGTTTTCAATTGTTTCCTTTTTTCATTTACGTCGTAGACGCACAGGGTTGTAAAATGCTTATTATTCAAGAACTAAGCTCAATTAAAACAGCTAGACCGGAGCTCAGTTAAATATATAGCGGCAATAAATTGTAAACATGGATCCCGAAGTTGACAAAAGTCGCCTTGAGGTGATATAAAGATGGTATCTCAACACACTTTTTCTGTAATGGCTTCATTTTGGGCCATAACTAACGGAACACAATTACGTGCGGGTTGTTGACACAAGCCGTATTTTACAACATTATGCTAAAAAAAATTGATTGATTCTGTCCAATGTTTTAAATATGAATGAAAAACCCATTAAGAGTGAGGAATACTAATTTAAGCTACATACATTTGCGCTATGTAATCATGTAAATTCTCTTTTTATTCTATCTGGCAGGTGTTACTGCAACACAATTGTTTGCTTGTGGAGTTTATGAAGCTATGCTGTACATCAATTTGGCCTATTCTGGTTCTAAACTGGCCTTTATTAACTCTATTTACATGCAAAGACATTTTGGCTCATAAAAGAAGTTATTTACATACCAGAAATGTCTGGAAGAGCTTCAGGGTAAAAATTTTCATCTCAATAATAATAATAATAAATAATAGAGTATTATCGTTTGTCTCGCGATGTGGGTACTTGTGGGTACTCGTGGGTACTTGTGTTGTGAATCGGGACGTTTCGACTGCATACTGCTAGTCTACGTCAGGTAATTAGGCTCCTGGTTTCGGGTCTTCTTATAAAGCAGGATTCTCTGCTGTGGTTGGTTGGTTTTTTCCACAGTTGTGATTAGCGAGTTTCGATCCTCGATGTTGGTGAGTTGTTCCCTCGACGGTCCGCTGTCTTACGTCTTCGTTTTTCGAAGGTGGGCATCCACGCTTCAGGAATTTCTATATCACTGTTCCTGTTGATGTCACTAGGGTGAAGTCGTATGTGAATAGCCTCTCTGGCCCTTCCACGATCAATAAACTTAACCTTACTTCAAAGCGGTTGGTATCCGGTGTTGTGGGCGTGCTCTGAAACGGCGGAGGTCTGGGTAAGGGCTAGTCGGTTGTGTCGGTCGTGCTCCTTTATTCTGTATTGCATTGGTCTTCCAGTCTCACCGATTTAAACTTTGCCGCATTTGCAGGGAATCCTGTCAACTAAACCGTCTTGTTTAGCTGGATCAATAGCGTCTTTCGCTCTTACGAGCTCTGATCTTAGTGTAGTTTCCGACTTGAATTTTCATCTTCCTTTTCGTAATTTACAGAGATAGATTTGAAAAAGTTCCTTTTTCATGTCTCTTTTAAAAAGCGCATAGACGAAAGGGTTGGCACCAGAATTTATGATCAGAAGCAATGCTAAGGTATATTGAACAAGATTTTGGGGTTGTGATTCTTTACAAGATCGAAAACAGGCACACAGTGAAGATAAAGACTGACATATGTAACAGATTAAAAAAATTCCCACCACCACAGTGATCAAGCGAGCAGAAGATGCCTCTGGCTTGCTTCTCCTGATTGGCTCCTTCCGATGGTTGAACCTTAACTGTTTCAACAGCACTGACGTGCGCCTCGAATGGTTTTTCGCTATTTTGATCATTTTCCTTGTTGCAATCACTAACAAAAAGCAAGGTGTTATCTGAAAAATTACCATGCTTAGAAGACGAGAAATATTTTCGTTGGACAGTAAAAACGTAGGAATAAGGTCCAGTACCAAGGGCGCCATCCAGGCGGTGATAAGAAGAAGGACAATCTTTGTTTTTGTTATAATGAGCGGGTACTTCAGTGGCCTCACTATGGCGAAGTAACGGTCCATTGTGAAGGCGATCATGTTGGAAACAGACGCTTCTCCAAAATATGACACAAAATGAAGAATGACAATCTGATGGCTGCAGTGGGTTATGCTGCACGAGAAGTGAGGCGGTATAAAGACAGAAACTAAAGCGAGATCTGCTACAGCGAGTGACAACACGAACCAGTTTGATTTTGTGCGTAGGTGCTTTCGCGTCAAGATAAGATAAATAACTTGAGCGTTACCGAAAATTGCTATGAACGTTAGAAGGAAGGCGATAATCCAAAACCACATGCTGAAAAAAATTTAACAACCAATAGATGTGCGTCCACAATTCCTTCTTTCCAAGACGAACCACTTAACCGTTGTATACTAAGACAAGAACAATAAACCAGTGGAACAAATTTTGTCAGGTGCTGCTTTTCAAGCCCGTCTTTTCCAATATACTGACCTTCGAGTTAATTCATGCAAATTGTGGCATTTAATAGTTTTTCTGTGGCCAATTCTTTATCATGCCCGACACTTAGTGACCATTTAGGCAGTTTTCTTTAATAGCCGGTGGCTATCAAATCAGATTATTCAATCGCAATATTCACCATTTATCCTTAGGCTTATTTTGTTCAGTTTAACTTGTGTCACCGGGGTGAATTTATTGGAGATCGGAGATGCACTTTCAGTTATCATAATACATGGTTGATTGTGTAGCACCACGAACACTTTTGAAAATGAGCAGGTATCGATAAAACTGCACTGAAATTAATTTTGTAAGTCTATTGACAACATGAAAATTATTTGCATTATTTTTAGCTATGAGACCATTTTATTGTTAAAATACTATTTTGTAAATATTTATCAGTCAGTAACTTTCTCATGATGGTGATTATGTAAAATAAACAGGGAACCCTCCTGAAATTGTGGGCTTGGCTTTTACAAGAATGTGATGGACAACTCATCCTGGAGAAATTATGACGCACGTTACTAACTTGCTCTTTCAGGCTGGTTATAATTGTGAAAGACTCGCGTAGCTATATCTTTCCTTGCAAAATCTTTAAAGGACTTCATAACCCTTTGACATTTGTGCTTTAGTTTAAAACAAATAAAAGTGTTCTGAAGTGATAAATGAAGTAAAGGCAACTTTACGAAGAAGACGCTTCTATAAGGTTGAATAAACGTTTTGAAAAGGATTGTGCTATCGAAGCAAGTTACTCTCAATTAACATTGATCCACTAAACTCAACCTCGTTCTTCAATCTTGTTAATCAAGAAATAAATTATATTCTTTTAAGTACTAAAAATAATTAAGAAGAAGGATTTTGATCAGATTCCAAGGCGCTTTTTCCGTTCATAACTCCTTGTTCAATTGTGAAACTCCAATGAGATTTGATCTTTTTAGATATTTCGCTGCCGTAATGGGAGAATTTGAGGTCCCCTGCTGTTTCTCCGTTTCTTTGATTCTTCCGAATGTGAATAGGAAACCACGAGACCACTTGCCGAAAAGAAATTTTCCCATTACCTCCAAAGTTTGGTAAACTCATACGCTTCTCTCCTGACTACACTACATCCAGAACAAGTGCTAATCTTCTCATTATTTAAGGGACATAAATGAGAAAGAAATTTAGAAGTTTTATTTAGAAGATTTCGAAATGTTTAAAATAATCCAAAGCTATACAAATGAACTAAAAGCATGTTAGCAACTGAGTGGTAACGGCTTTAAAACCTACCTCGAAAATAAAAAATGATCAAAAAGGAATTTTCTCTGGAAACGTATTTGCGTAACCAGTACTTCTATTATAGCATGATTACTTCTTTGAGTCAGTTCTGCATTTCTTAAACCAAGATGCTCTATAATAAACGTAAAAACCACCATAATTACAATTTGCCGTAGTTCGTAATAATATTGTAATAATTTTTCAGTGGCCTTTTTCACTAAGCTAAGGAAAAAAAATTCATCAATCTGCTCTCCAGCTGCTGACGGGTCAACTCTTTTTCTATTTAATGGTAAATAATTAATTATTTTACATTTTCATTTTTTATGTGAACCACAGTATTTACAATAAGCTATTTTGCAGGAGTACTGGGATAATTAATAGCTCTTGTAGCAAACTACTGCTATTACTACCACTACTACTACTACTTCTATAGTTATTGTCTTCAGATATGACTCCCGGTTGCTGTAATCTAACGGAATCACCGAATCTTTTCTGTATTTTCTCCAATAGCGTCGAACAAACGTAAGGGTTCTCATAAAACTCAGTATCGCTGGCTCACAGCCACCATAAATTACTACGAAATCAAGGGAGACTCTCTGGAAGGCACTTTCAACATGGCGGATAGTTCATCAGCACGCCCCAAATGCCGCCAAGACGTGTTGAATTTAGTATATGGCTGGCGTGCAGTTAGATTACTACTACCTCAGTAAACAGAAATCATTAACCGTGGATGGACAGCTTCTTTCCCATCCCACGTTGCCGACGATGACCTGGGACCCAGGTGTGTGGATTTTGGAAGTGGATTGTGTGCTTGACTGGAGGGTAATAAGGTAATGTTAGACTTGCGCACTTGGCGTTTTTTGTTTGAGCCTCTGCTTTCTTGATTTGCATAAAGGTACCAGCAAGTAGAGTAAATATTAATTGAGTCGTCTCGTTATTATCCTAAAATGCCCAAATGGTCGATTTTAGGGCCTTAAATGTCTTAGGATGTCGGTAAGATGTAGTGACTTAATGCTTTACTAACTCGTTTAGGATCCCACTCGTCAGTTATCCGCGCACGATAATAACAATGGCGTCTTTCAGAAACATAATCCATTAGCTATCTTAGCACATCAGTTAGTGAAAATGATATTGACTCATGGATATTCGGAAAGATAATATGATGGGAATAAGAAAGAATTATTAGACCATCACCTAGCTTACCCTCCTCTTATCCCAATTCAGATAGTAAATCAACAGCTGAGGTTAGCTGCAGTTTATTGTTATGTTGATATTTTTATCAACTGAGGTGACTTTATCGACTTGCTAATGTGAGAAAGCAATAAAATGAGAGAATCTACGCAAATATAGCGAATTGACTTTGTTTGATTCGGCTTTTCCTCTCCAAGAGTCTCAAAATATTCTCTAAATTCCACACGCCGAGAGGATATAAAGTATCACCATTGAATTCAATCAAATGAATAAAGGAGACTCCTTTAACGCTTAAATTAAGAAGTATTTGGAAGATACAAACACATTCACAATAGCGTCGGGTTTGTTGAAGCTACAGCTGTTTCAATAGTGGTAGAAGTGCACTCGAAATAGAGTCTTGCAATTTGTTTTAAGGTGTTACCTCTTATGGAACCGCATTTTAAAAAAAGTTATGACCCAATTTAATTTTATTCGTTTTACAAAATTCAGCTTGATTAAACTTCCCCAAATGTATTTAAGGAAATCGATTGAGTACTCATTCGAGAGCGCAGTGTTAAAGTTGGAATGCAAGCCTAAGTAAAGTTCATTATCTTTCAAATGAAGCACACATCAGAGTAAACACAGCATGGCAAGCTGTCAAACTGGGTGCATGCGTGTGACACTGCTTCAGTCTTGAATATTTACTCAATATAATTACTCTGGCGCTCAGAGATTTTGGAAAGATCCCGAATATATTTTAGATATATAAAAACCTACCATCAAATTCATTTAATTCCTGAGTTAAGGTAAGCAACTTGGTGGTCATAATTTTCATATTTCACTTCCTCGTCACATGAAGTAAGATTAATTTTTAACCTATTTACATTATCAGTGATTTCAATGTTTCCATGGGCAGGTTCTTTTTGAATATTCATCTCATGTATTGCTGCCTTAAAAAACTGAAAGTTACCATATCTCAACAACCATGAGAATGTTACACCAATTTACTTAGTGTCAGCCGAGGACATTACAAATGGTCACATATGATAATCGACAAAAGTATACCGGCTCTGTATTGAACCGCGATCGCGGCTGTAACGAATATACTGAAAAAACACCGCTTTTAACTGAATTTAAATCTAATTGCTTTGGTTAAACTAAACTGAAATGAAATCACGTATTTGTAGGTGATAGGAAAACCGCAATCCAAGCTTTAAAAATAGTTGCAACCCGTTAGAAAATGACGATTGGTATCCTTGGATTTTCCAGGCTATCTAAGAGAAGATAATTTGAGAGCAGTCCTAAGCCTAGCCTTTCGAACTTCTTTGACCAAATGAAGCTGTCAAAAATGAGGTGTATGTTATGGGCTCTATTCCTATTATAAACTTTTTGTAATAGGAATTGAGCTTATCGCATAAAATTAAGTTAAACAATGATTCTCCGATGACGAGTTGAATATTCATATAAATTTCAATGCGCAGTGCCAAAAATTGTTTTTTGAAATCATTACTCAGTTTATTGGCGCAGCCACTAAAAGATTTTTTGAAAAGAAGTCCATGTACCCTGCTTATTCACTAGTTCTTTATGGAACGAAATCCTTTTTGTAGAAAGGGCAATGCTATTAGATTTAACGAAAAGAGTAGGTGACCTTTTTCTATTGTTTATTATTATTATTGTTAATATTTATTATTTCAGTTATCTCAACCTGGAGTGGACGAAATGAGTACTAGTTATTTGTTAAGCGAAGCATCTCTGCCCGATATGGTCTATTGGCCCTTAAAGTCCGTCATAGCATTGGTAGCTGTTCTTGGCAATGGAGTGGTTATGTGGTTGATCTGTACGAGAAGGCGTTTGCACTGTACAGCAAACTGGTTTGTTCTATCATTAGCTTCAGCGGACTTTTGTACCGGCTTGATTGTTACACCATCAGAGCTTTTTTGCCTTTGGAAAGCACAAATGTGTATCTGGCCACTTAAAGTACGCGCGTCGTTTTATAACTATCCAATCAACGTATCGATATACTGCCTCTGCGTGCTGACATTTGACCGTTATTTCTACGTGCTTAGGCCCTTACAATATACCAGATGCATGACCTCGAAACTAATCGTAGGTCTTATTTCCACGTCATGGATGTTTCCAGGAATTTTAACCTTTGGCTCTCTTCTCTGGCTTGAAGCTCCAAATCACATTCAAGAAGAAGCTGATAAAGTTTATATCTTAACACAAATATTTCTTGTCTCTTTTCTTCCGTCTATCTTTCTGGTTTATTCGTACATTCGGATACTTTTTGCAGCTATGAAACAGCGACGACTATCGGCCGAGCACATCACTCAGTTGAGATTTAATGAAGGGAATGCAGCCGAAAGTCGGCGAAATCAATCGCGTAGACGGCGCGAACGTTCCTCGACAGTCAAAGTGCTCGGTGCTGTCATAGCCTTTTTTGTACTTTGTTGGATCCCCTCTGTGTGTCGTGCAGTGTGTGGAACTTTTCATTTGTGTAATGTATCTGAAGCCCTGGTCAAGTCCTCGCGGCTTCTTATTTTATTGAATTCGGGAATAAACTTCGTTGTTTATGCGTTTCTGAAAAAGGATATCCGGGAAGAACTGTACTACGCGTGCAAAAGGCCAGCGAGAAGATCGAAGGAAAACATCTTGCTAGTAGAGCGATCGTCTAGAGCCAGCAGTGAGTCGAATCGTAACTCGATAAGAATGGTGCGATGAACTAAGAATCTACAAAAAAAGACTTTGGTCCGAAAGGAAACTTTATTGGCTCGTGTTTTTACACTGAGAATCATTTTTCGTATAATTTTATGGCTTTTTGAGTGCTTATGAACTATTGTACTCAGAAAATGAGGTTATGATATTGTCAAAGGTGCGGCCGAGTTATACTCTTTGATTAACTCTCTTTAACCATCTATGTGCATGTATTTTGATTCTTAATGCCTCTATTTATTTCGATACTTCCTTCAAGCCGCCAGCATTGCCCCTCTCAATCTTGGAGGAGAGAGAAAACATCAAGCTAGGGGCTGTTAAATTAACTTTCTGCGCACGTGGGGTGATTCCTTGTGTGAAGGCACTGTCCTGTTACAAGCGCACATACTGTAGGACCCAATAGTCTTGATATTTCAAACCAGAAAGGTTAGGCTTGTGCACCTTTGACGATACATCAGACTGTCGTCAATCACACTGAATTTTTCTAGGATGCATGAAAAATGTTCAAGCAATCAATTTGCAGGGAATCTCAGGGCTGGTTTTCTTCCATTTCTAACCTTCCATCTTCCGGAACTGTTTCGTATGCCGATGAACTTAAAGAGCTGAAAGCACACTGATCGATTAACAACGATTATGCTACGTCAACGATACTGCCCTCCCATAAGGATGATGCATTGAAGTTTCTTTGCGCAAATGTTCAGCAATATATAATTCAGTATTCAATAAGTCGAGACAATTATGATTTGTAAGATCATGCGCATGATTCAACACTCCTCTTATTTAGATGATTCTTTCTTAACACTTGATACACTTTAGATAGTCGGAAATAAAAAAGAGAAATTTATAAGAAAATTTTGCTAAGAGCAATACCATTAGAATTCATTTTTCATTCCCTCAAAAAGGAAAAAGTTAAGGCAAATACTTATCTTATTCTAACACGTAAATAAGTGGTATAATTCTCTTCCCTGACATATTCAATGGGCCTGTTTGTTCAACCTTCGGTGTGTAGTATTTTAAATATATTTAATCTGCATTGAGTCACGACAAAAAGTTTTGTAGTTCATCGAAATGTAACAAAATATCGATATAGCCCAAGACAGATATGAAAATGGACTTAGGCAGAATGCTGAAATTCTCATTCTTTCGAGAAGTTAATTGTGATTTAATTTTGATATATTGTTTCAAACGTCATGGTTTATCTCTTTTTCTTGTTGATTCAGCTGCTAGGTTAAACTTGGGCTCTGTTGCATGATCATTTACTAATTAAATCTAGGGTTACTTCACGCCAAAAAAACAACACGAAACAAGCAGATGATTTGATATTGATACGCTTTGTTTGCACTGGCTATTTATTTTCATAAGAACCCTGCCAATTAAAAAATGACTCAAAATTTGTAGTGCTGATTGAAAAAAATAAAAAATTTAATCAGTACGAATAGTACACTCACCTTAATTAAAACACCCTCACTCTCAACTGAGAAACGAAGAATAGTGAAGACAGTTTCAGACCATGAAGGTGCCCTTATCCGTAACTTGTTTGGTGTTGCTTTTGCTTCCACGTGGTAAGTGTTTCGTACAAGGGACTTAAAATGGCTAATGAATGGTCGCAATATTAATATGAAATAATAGAAAAAATGGCTTTTATTTGAAGAACAGGAGCTTCAATGGTTGCCCCCGATTTTTGGGCAAAAAATTGTTATCTTTTAACGAAAAAATTTAGAAATTCATGATTTCTATGATACATTGGTTGCCATAATTGATTAATTCTATACTGGACCAAAAGATTTCTGATGTAAAATCCAAACGTTGAGACAATAATTTCTGTAGAATTAATACAATCAGGGATGCGCCTTTTTGGATACGAAACGAAGGAACAGGCCAATTGGTCACATTCACATGGTTAGATATGTTCCGTTGGATTATAATTGCACATTAGAGTCAAGCATCGTTATAATGGGTTCTGAAATCATTTTACACTATCATCTGGAACTTGAAACACTAATGACATAAATAGTAGTGCAAAACCACTGAATACTTAATTAAAATGGTTTAGAGATCAATGATTTCAACTGCTGCAAGTATCCAATTTTTCAAGAATACCGCAATAAATCATGTTGTACCAGTTGTTCTCTGGTCATGCCGTGATGATTCAACTACCTCCTTTATGGTTTTGCAGCCAACTATTGTTGACTGTGTCCTGTTTCTGATGTGAGTCATAATGGATTGGTTCCTTCTAATTTTCACGTCTGTTCTGATTGGCTGTTGTGAAAAGCGCTGTCTCGGTTTTGCCTTCCTCAATCGAGTGAACCTCTGCCTCCCTCAATCGAATGAGCTTCTGGACATATATCAACTGAGGATGATTTAACTCCTTTGATTTCCATCCCATTGATATACCGTTAGTATTACACTGCTAAATAATCATCATATCACCAACTGTATAAGGGCTTTTTAATTAGACATTAGCGTCACATTGTTCTAGACAAGTATCTAGAGAAAACAGAGAAGTATTATTTTGATGTATGAATCATTTTATTATTTTGTTATACGAAGGGGAAGGTTTGTCGTGCTATGAGTGCTTGGAATCTTCCTCGTGGGACCAGTGCACGAACCATCAGGAACCTCGTTACTGTGAACCCGGATGGAAATGCGTAATCATGAAAGAGAAGGCTAAGGGGAAGAACGAGTACTATTACCGAAGAACGTGCAGTGAAGAGTCAGTGTGTAAAGAGTTCTGTAAAGACAAACAGGATTGCGTTTACTCTTGTTGTGGCAGCGATAACTGCAATAAAGGGGAGATCTAAGGAAATGGCTCTTGGATAACTCAACAACATAAATGAGTTTTGCATATGATATCAATAAAACAAGCATTTATCTGTACAAGGTTTTAAATTTTCGCTGCAGCGAATGCTCGATAATTGATTGAATTAGCATAATAAGGGGAAAAATCCTGAAAGGGGTTTAACGGTTTCGAATATTTTCCTTCTTTTCCGTCGATTCTTTTGTGTTTCTCCTCAGACCAACCAATTGTAATCTGGGGAATCACCGCATGTTAAATTTGACAGGCTGGTGAGTAAAGGGGATGTTGTGTGTGTACATGTAATTAGCAGGAGACATACTCGCAATTCGCTGAAATTTCCGTTCAGGAAAAGCAAAACTAAATTACAATTTTCGCACTCAGAATACTTGAAAAACAGATGTATTCCCGTAGCTCAGGGCTATAACCCGTAATAATTGACTTAAAAAGGTTTTCCTAGCCTGCCACAGGCTATACCTTGGGAGTTTTATACTTTTCGCAAACGAAACATACGTTATTAAAGGAAGATTTTAAACTGATCAGCTTGGGTCTCGAAGAATATTGACTGAGGACCAAGCAAAACAACCCACGCAAAAAAAAAAACACTGTAAAATTTAGTTTAAAACGCTTAAAATTGAAAACTCCAGCTGAAAGACAAAGAATGAGAATCATGTCAGATAAATTATCGCTTTACTTTCCTTTTATTTAAGGCGTAATAAAACATCTTCGACGCCGCTTAGCTGAGGGGAGGCTCATCATGACTTAAGAGAAAAAAAAAAAAGAAAAAGGAAATGGCAGGGACTTTGAAAAGCAATACAAATATGTGGAATGATACATACTCCTATACAAATGTGTGGGGAAAAAATGCTCTCTTGCTCTATCATTAGAGAAAAAACGCCTTTTTTCAGGTAAAAACATACCGCGAATTAGACTGAATTTGGCTAAATAATTGAAATGCGCATTCGAATTTACTTGAAATTAAGAACTGAAATAAAATGATTGATCTGGCAAACAAAACAAAAAAAAGAGAAAATTGAATCAAAATATTGAAATATAAAACATCGAACTTTACATCGGTCGGAGGAAACCGCGAAAGAAAAAAACACGTCTGTCCAGTTTAGTTTTTACGAAGTACGATATACGAAGTTATCAGCCGTTTGAAAAAGTTAATGAGAAAAGAGAAATATTAATACTGCCAATGACTACTTTTGCATTCGGTAAACAGTCGCACCAAAAGCAAACACGTAAGGTAAATAAACCAAATGATGATATGAGATTTCTTCCTTTCTCTATTTACAGTAGAGATCTATAAATGCGCTCTATATTTGTCCGGATTGTTTTTCTTTCAAGAATTTCGCAATAGCGGAGGTTACGTTTTTACTGATAATAATCTCGATTTTTCCTCGGGACTAACAATTGTATTGAATTGAATTAACAACTGAATTAGAAATTATAATTCTAATTTATATACAACAAAATTTTTAACAGAAGATGGATATGTAAAGCAAAATAATTTGATAGTGTCAATATTGAAAATGTAAAATAAAAAAGAATTTTCGAATGTTGTGCGACTTTGATGCATAGCAAAAGTCGGAAAACTGCTTAGAAATATAAAGATTATGAGTGAAATTGAAAAAAAAAAAAAACAACTATCGAACAGGAGGAAATGCATAAGATTTCAATTTGACATTGTATTGAATGTAAATAAATTTTGATTTCAAGCACCAGCAAGGTTTCTTCATCAAAGTGGAAAAAGCAACGTGGAAATCAAAATGATTGCCTCGAAAGCCATTTTTTGTTCAGAACCTGTGCTGTTTTTGGGTTAGGATATGACAGAGAAGATCAAATAGAGGCCTAAATAGTTATTTATTTTGTATAGATGAGTGATTTGTATTCAAAGACGGCCTGCTTTATAAAAAGTAAAGATAGATAAGGATTTAAGACATAGAAGAGTGCTTGATTTTCAACGTTGAAAAGTAATATCTTCTGTCATCGTGAACGGTACAATAAAACAATGTTTTTGATTGAATTGCATATGACTTTGACATTTCCACATCAAAAACCGGGCGCTTTCCAGGGTCAACATTTATTTGCGGTTTTTACCTTCGATTCCTGTTTGATAAGCAAACACCGCAAATAAGAAGGAGATTAACTTCATAGTGGATCGTGCCATAAAAAAAAATAATAGCTTGACCAGATTTCATAGTAAAAAGTTTACCGGAGCAGATTCAAAGTAGATGCACATACTCCTTTGTGAAGTGTCGCATTTAACCGTTCAACTGATCAACTGCCTCAAACCTTTCTGTGTTTATTTCACGTCAAGGTAAAAAAATCAATCAAAGATGCTACGAATACTACACTCAAAAGAGTAACGTTTACACTTGAGGAAAGCCGAGCTAAAAGGAGGTAATAAGATCAATTTTACTAACGAAAAAAAGGTGAAATCTGTATTTTCTTCTTCATCCTCTCTTCTGTACTGGAAATTATTTTTTACTGAGATTGGTAGAAAAACACCACGTAAGACGATATACGAAACTTTCTTACTCTTTTCCAAAGGTAGGTTTTCAAGTGACAGCCAACATCAAGGAAATGACCTTAAACTTTATAGAAAATCGAATGAGCAACGCAGCCGAAAGATCCAAAGTCGGCAAAAGTAGTGAAGTACCCACGTGGTTTTGGATCTTGCAATGTGAAATTTTAGCTCGTAACAATGTATGGCAATGGCCTTTTTGTTTTTATTATCTTAACTTTAGGAAATCCTCACACCGCTTGCAACTGGTTCGTCCTATCCCTATCTACGGTAGACTTGTGTGTTGGACTACTGCTTCCATCTTGTTCTTTCATCTGCCGGAAGGAAGGAATTTCTTAAAATACTGTTGTATTTTTTTACGGAATTTAACTCCATATTAGCCATTTATGTCGCCAAAACCTGCTTGATGACTTTCGACAGATACTTAGCGCTCGTGCATGCCCTGAAATACCGCATGTTCATGACCGCAAAGCGAGGTCTCCTTCTAATAATAAGTGCCTGGGTGTTTCCCGCAACACTTGCCTTTCTACCGTTCACCTGGCGTAACCACATCTCTGACGAAGACAAAAACCAAGTGAAGAAGACCTGTACCGCGCTATGTTGATACTTTTCGAATTTCTACCACCTGCAATTTTATAATAAATGTACCTAAAAATACCTTTCACGACCCGAGCACTCAGTAGAAAAACAGCGATATAGCTCGCTCAACTGAATTTCAACAAAGCTTCTAATGCCAATCTCATACCAAGTTCAAGAAGACGACTTCAGGAGAGATCTGTACGAGTTGTTGGGGATGTGGTTATCCTGTTTGTGATATGCTGGAAGTTTGATATCTATAAGTCAATATGCAGGTATTATCTGGAGTGTTTCGTCAAAAAACATGTCTTAGACCGAGTTTCCTTGCTTTTCATCTGCACAAACTCTGCTGTCAACTGATGAAAAGAGACATTCGAACTGAGATACGAAGACTTACGCGGTGTCCTAACCAATAAACTTGCTATTATGGTTCGTGTCTTGCGTTTTCGTCTTCGTTTTCATCATTTTCAAGTGACTATGTTTTTTAAGAATTAAAATAATGTTTCCCTCTCTATTTTACTGTGGCACTATGTTCCCATAATCCCCTAAAGACTTTTCACTGCCTCAGCAGCTTTAAGATGAGTGCTTTCAGAGAAATATGTTCGTTTAACAAGGTTTGGTAGAATTGGTGTACTTGAGGAACATATTTAAGGTGATTCCACAGAAAAAAAAGGTATTAAACTATTTTTTAAAAATTTCCATAAATGATCCCTACCAAATCGCAGTAAAAAGATAGGCCATCGTGCTAGTTTAAGAGATATGATGGGCCAGTCTTACCCCATCTATGACAGTACTGGTTATAACCACGCGCGTTATTTCATTGGTTCCACGTACGTTTTGTGATAGCTGGAAGCTTGGGTTTTTAAAGTGAAACTTTAAACTAATGCGAAAGAATAAGAGTGGAAAAAAAATTCTTAATAAATTTTTAAAATCGAATCGTCAGTACGACAAATGGAACTCGGCTAAGGTGCATAAAAGAATTCACACGTGTGGGCGGCATAACTTAAAATATATTTCAAATAGAATAAAACACAAAAAGCACACCATACAATAAACGTCTTTGAGACATTGTGATGGCACTAATTCCAGTTTTGTATAGAAAACAGCAATAAAATATTTTTTCAATACAATAGATAAATCATACGATGTATCTTAACGACCCAAGGTACATATTCTCGAAAGTTTACTGCCCTCAGAAGGAAGAGTGAAAGTCAGGCACTTTAAGTTTCAAGATAAATTTCCTTCCATAACATGATGTGCACGCGCACTGTGATAGAAATTTAGATGCCGCGACAATTAATGGTCATTCTTATTTAGAATACGCCCCAGGAAGCTATGTCAATACTAATTCAACAGAAAAGTTCAATTTGAGCAAGCTCGTTGTCAAAATCTGCATAGTGTTTGTAAGGAAAATATTGTGAAATAACAAACACTTCACAAATCAAAACGTTTACAAATAAATTTGAAAAAAAATTTTAGCTTTCCTTGAAAAAAAGCTTGGATTCACTTTTGCTCGACCATCGATTTTGAACAGCTTCCTAATCAAAAACCCTCTGGAAACTTGCCTTGACAGGTGATATATTTATACTTCAAAGGAAAGTTTGCAAGAGAAAAACCTCAAAAGTTTCTTCAAAAATGTTGACTAAAAGTAATGATAATGATTTTTTTTTATCTCTCCTTACCAGACATTCCGCAAAATCTTTGTTCCTAATATTTCGAATTAAATATAATTGCAAACTTATGGTCTAATTTTCCTTATTTTTGTGTTTGTCTCAAATTGTCAGATATTTCCTTAACGCAATTCTACCAAGTTTCAGCACTATTGACACGCATGAATCACTTTTATGATGGAACACCACGTGAAAAGCATAAATACTATGAAGCGTCTTTTGTCATTTCAGGTTATTCTTCATGAAATGCTATTTCTACTGTTTCAAACCCTCGTCCGCTTGTTGCTATTCGAAGTTGAGCGCTTTTTGTGTCTCTGTTCTTTGATTTTCCGGTTCCAATGCTTCGTAGATACAGACTTTATATGAAAAGAAGCACACCACAGGAATCAAGAGGGAGCAGAGAAGAATAACCTTGGTAAACTATAGGATCTATTTGGGTAACACCCCGACTGTATGGTCCACATAACTGTATTACTGCTTGGTTGATTAGTAATACAATGACTGTCCAGCAAATCGGGTTTCCGTCCTCAGTTCTTGCACTTGCAAATTGTTCCCTTTAATGAAGGCAAACGTGAGATTGAGCTCCCTTCTGATATCTTGTTTAAGAATAGCATATACCATTGGATCAGCTGCGGTATTGCCCACCAAAAAAATCCTTGAAGCGTACACCATTGTGAGCGGTACATGGCACAAGGAGAAGCTGTTGCAAAGGCCTCTGTAGATAGTGAAAGACCAGCATAACACGAAGAAGAAAATTACTGCGCCGAGAACCAGAACGGAATAAGACTTTCGATTGCTTTGTCTAACATTTCGCTGGGGAATTGCCGAGTTGTTAGTGATTTGCTCCACTTGAACTCGATGACGTTTTGAATGCTTTAGGGTAATGCGTGATATTTTGGCGAAGGCAAGTAAAAGCCCAGCACAAGGTAAAACGGCGAACGCAAATATTTGTATAACTCTGAAAATCCTTTCGGCGTCTTTGGCTTCGGTAGTTGAGATCAGTGTAATGCAAAGCGATGGTATGAGGTAAAGAAATATGGGCAGCGTCCATCCTATACAAATGGTTAATGTCACTCGTTTAGGAGACATTAAGACGGGATAGCGCAAAGGAAATACCACTCGACAAAATCTATCTCCCGCCATCGCGCAAACATTCACTACCGAGGCACAAAGAAAGTAATTGCAGAAGTTCCAGAATACGAGAGAGCACTGTACTCCAAAGCGATCACAAATGAAAGCTCCCGGTATTGTCGTGATGGATATTAACAAATCAGAACAAGAGAGGGACAGAATGAAGCTATTGGAGGTTGTTTGCAGCCTTCTACGAGTTGTAATCAAGAATATGACTATAGAATTACCAAGGATGGCAACCACTCCAGTAGAACCCAAGATAATCCAAAACCAAACTTCATCTTTCTTTAAGCCTTTAGCAGGTGAAGTCTGCGTTGCATTAACAGATTCGTTCCTTGTATCCATAAAACTCAAAATTTGTGACCACTTCAGTTTAATTCTTACAACCGAAAAAAAGTTGGATCGGTTTTTCGTCGCCAGACGTTTTAAGATCAAGAGAAGCCTCTGCGTGCTGGTATCTAACAAGCCCGTGATAACCTGTACACTTATGATGCACAGTACGCGAACTTTAATGCCTAACGACTCCTGGCTGTGTATTTTTATATCAACACCACCACGCAAAAGTTATACATTAAGATCTTATAGATAGCGCTTCAATCTTTTCATTGGTTCGGCAGACAGTCTTTAGCATTAATTGTTGACGCATGTAATTTTTATCTCCAAACTTTAGATTACCTCGGAAGTAAGAGCAGCTGTTTCCCTCGCAACATTTTCTGAAGAACATGCAAATAAGGTAATTTTAGTTTTGAAGTTTACTTTTGTATACGTTTTTGCCGCTTTGAACTCAGATTGCTCAATAACAAATATAAGTTATAAAAGGAAAAAGCATCCACGTTAATAAATCAAAAACAGCTAAATTTCCCATTTCTTTTGTCTAATGTTCACTTGATGCTCATTTCCAGTTATTAACTACCAAAGCTGATAAGCTTTATCGTGCTAAAATGTTCCTAATAAGAGTATGACAGCACCGTAAATGATGAAAAAAAGTAAAGTGGATTAATCGAGTTCAAAGAAAAAACCACAGAAGAAAGCAATAATTTCGTCTTTCAGCCGATGTTTGCAAAGCGAGGTCTACGACAGTGCTCGATATGCATACATATGCTAACGGAAATGATAGGATAAGCTAAGCCAGTCACGGAGCAAAAACGTGTCATTCGCCTGGTGTTTAAAATCAAGACGTCAAACGCATTGACACAGAAACAATTTTTTTTTCTTATTCTCTTTTTTTTGCTTTTGGCTAGGCAAATTGCTTTGAGGCATACTCACAAACTTAAGTCTTCTTGTTGCAAGCAGCAAGATTGTGAGATGCGCACATATTCTTTTTGAATATCTTAATATGATTCCTTTCATTTGAAAGAGGAGCCCACGAAACTTTCCGGTTACCTTGAACGAATTCTTTTCACCCTCAATGATGAGAGGAGACAGCCTGTCACTTGGGAGATAACTTCGCTAAACAAATTACGTTGAACAGACTGAATGGAGCGAATTTTTTTTTTGCTTGGCAAGAAGACAAATATAATTTTTTTTCGTTTTTTGTTTTTGTTTTTTGTTTGTTGCTGTTGTTGTTGTTTTTTTGATTATCGGTACAAAGACTACTCTCTATGACAAGAAAAAGGCGTTTAAGCTGCTGAACGTGATCAATCGGAAACAATTTTTTAGGAAAAAATACAGACGGATTTGGTATGTCAATCTTTCTTTGAGCCCTTGACATTTTACTCGTTATAGCTTTTACATTAAAATCGGTAATAAACTTCTATGAATGTTTTTTGCTGTTTCATGTTTTGCTAACTACCTCATTTATAATGGGAGAGATTTTACAATGCACTCACGTGTGGAATCAATTTTTTTTTCTCCTTCAATATTGCTTGTCTTAAAATCGGTGATCAAAAAGTTTTTCAATTTACAGAAATGTTTCAACCTTCATGCTGAAATAACTGGGTTTAATGAGCTAGAATGAGCTAGGAGTGAACTAAGGTGACAATGGAAGAACTAATAGATAGATAGCTAATAAAGCCCCGTCACGTACGAACAAAACCGATATGCACATACTGCTTTACAATTATCAAATTAATAATGAACCTGTATAAGTTTGTTGGATCAAGCTCCGCCCAATTTCTTTTGGGCGTAAGTAAGTGCAATCAACCGCCGCCTCCAAATGATTTTACGATAATTAAAACATTTCGTGCAAGAGGACAGATAACATCTTTTTCGCACGCTGGCGCATGATGAAAACACTTGGTTTCTTTGGTAAAAGTGTTCTTTGCTTTTCCTTTTGTATAGTAACTGTTCCTACTGAAACCTTTGATCAAAATCTGATCAACTGCTTTATCTCATCTCGAATATCACTCTTCAGCAAGGCGTATACAAAGAAATTCACAACAGAATTGAAAAAGAGAAATAACCTTGATGTTTGGACAAAAAGAAGCGAAATTGCACAGACGTTGTAATAACTGCAAAATGCCCTGTAAGCCGACAACACCCAACATATCTCAAACATGATTATTACAGCGAAAAACGCGTTGACAGTTGATCTTTCAATCTTCCTCTTTCGCTGGGTTCTGGTGTCCAAATTAAAGCGAATGGCTATTTCTAAAGCCTTTATTCGGCGACTTTGGTTTCTAACAACGAAATATAGATGAGTAAAAGTCAAAAGCATGACAATACAAGGGAGAATTTCAAATAAAACCAGGACTATCCCTAAGTATATTTGATTGGCCCGCTCTGCTCCATCAAACGTGCTGTTGGGTGCATCTTGCGCAGCTGGCGAACTCCATTTGAGATCCTTCCAACATAGAGGCATCAGCGTTATCATCATGGGCAGAACCCACGCCAGGGCAATCAGTCGCAGTGCCATTGAAGTTGTCATTATAGACGGATACCGAAGAGGTCTTGTGATAGCAATGTAACGATCAAAAGTCATGACGCAGAGGTTCCCGACTGAAGCATAAAAAAGCAAGTTGTAGAACATAACGAGCACTTCGAAATTGGCATCAATCCAGAACGTGCAAGCGATGTATGATGGTGCCACAATCAGTCCTACAGAGAGATCAGCTATCGATAACGACAACACGAACCAATTTGGCGTCACATGAAGTCTTGCGCGTGTAACGATCAAAAATATGACCAGGGAATTTCCACATATTATTGCAAAGGCCATTACAGAGACTAGGATCCAGTACCAAAAGGCTCCCTTTCCCTCAATAGTGTTGGTTGCTGACATGGATGCAATTTTTTTTGATAGTCTTTATCTCCTACGAAACACAATGAAATGAATAGATACTATCAATAAGAAAGAATGTAGGATTATTCTTCATTTACCTCTGCATACATGAGGGAAGAATCTGATACACATAAAATTTGAAAAAAAAAATTGAAATACTAAATTGGAACCAATCAGGTATTTCAATAGCATTGTGTACAGTACGCTGAGTTTAAAGCAATCTTTCCCATGCCTGTTATGTATGGGATATATTAAGAAATTTTCAAATTAAGTAAATGAACCACTATCTAAAATTACCATATGGTAAAAATTTTGCTGAAAATTGTTTAAGTGTTCCATTGGCCTTCACTATCGATCAGACACCTCGCAGGACTCTTGATGAATTTTCATCACCAACGTTTATCTTCATTGTTTGAAGGGAAAAAAAGCATGGAATTGATAATCGCATCTATTCAGCCAGCGGCTTAATTAATACAAGGTTACTGGAAATCATTTTGTATGCATATACGAGTTCTCATCTTGGACTTTCGTGATCGTGGCTTAGAAGCTTATGTTCAGTTTGTTTCTGTGTTGTTTTGTTTAAATTTTAATAATTCAGTTTCGATTACATATGGCGATATACAACCTAAATCGAGTCACTGACCTATAACTCAGTTAACTCAGTAAAAAACCATTACCATTCCTTAATGTCAGCGATCTTCAGTCAGTGAAGACATCTTTTTTGTTGTTTTTTGTTTCATTTATATCAAACACACCACAAGCCAGAATTCTAGGGAGATTAACTATTTATCTTAGTTAAGCATGCCAGGTGAAAGTCAAACTCTATTCAAAATATTTAAACCACCTTGCGAAGTTGTCAATACATACTCAGTTCTGACTCACCTTGTCAATATCAGTTTTGCGATGCCGAGGCCGAGGCCGAAAATAGAAGCAGGATATATCAAACATCAGTTGCTTCCACTCAGTTCTGTTGATAGGAAGTTGTTTCAGTCACTTCACCTACACAGAGAGGATTTGTTGTTAATACCTAAAATGAATTTTTTATATGAAATAACACATCAAAATTCAAATTGACATATCATATTCAAATTCAATTCAAGCAAATTCTTGGAAGGTGTCGATGTGATCCTTTCAATACAGCACTGTAAAATTGTATCTAAAATTGTTCCTCAGTTTTACCTAAATTAGGCATTTCTGAATTGATTTTCCTGATTGCTTTTAACTCCCCGAGCCAAACACGAAAGATTAAAAATTGATCGAGTATGTAAATCGCAATATGAGGATGAGGAGACAAGAAAGCTTTCATTAACTTGCAACTTCTTAAGTTCTCCTGCAGACGTTTGGCAAGTAACGAGTCACTAATTGTTTGTGAGTAGGTAGCTTTACACTTTATCTCAGGCTTATATAAACTGTTGGCTGCAGCTCGCATTAAACCGCATCTCACTCAGTGAATTTAATCAATTTAAACTCCGCTTTGGTATAAAAGGACGAAAATTGCCTTATAAAATTGAAAATATTATATTCACTGCAATAACGTTGCCGAAAATCAAAAAGCAAAAAGCCTTGTGGAGCTTGATAAGGCAAATCCAATACTTCCCAGGAAAACTCTGCAGCTTAAGGTGATTCCTAAATACTGCACTGCACATCCTGAACTGTGCAAAAAATCACGTAATCAGGCGAATAAGCGCGCGCGCATTCAGAGACTACGGTATCGTTTTTTAATGGACTAGGTTAAGAGGTACGATGATCTTAAGTTCTTGAACGAGCACAGTGACTTATATTTTTTGTGTGCATTATTTTGAGAATTTATTATCCCCCTTTAATTTAGAGAAATTTAAAACAATCATCGAAGGGGAAAAAAATAGCTAAAAGCGTGCACGAAGCTCAATACTTGTGGATGCAAATAATAGAGTGGTTTAGCAAGAGGACGGGAACGTCATTTCAGAACGGCACGCGCAGCAAAAGTGCCGATAAGAAACAGGGTCGAGAACGCCGTCGCGTTGTGTTGAAAAGTGACTTAGCAGTCGTTGCAACGAGAATCATCGCCTCGGCTTTTTAAAGATCACCGTCACCTTTGAATTTTCGGTTTTATAGACCAATCTAAGGACAATGAAATTATCTTCTTTGAGAGTTATATAACGAGCGCAAACAGAGGATAGTTATAGATACGCCAAGTAAGTTGTTAACTATGAATCCACATGGGCGATTAAACTTTTAAACTAGTCCATTTCAGTTTAGTCCCGAGTCTGCTGATTCATCTATTAAATTTTGAAGCCCACTAAATAGTTTTTTTTTCGATGATTTGTGTCGCTGTCATTTCATTTCGTGCTACTAGATTTCAGCACTACTCGTTTTTCTTCATAATTTTGTAAAGGATAATTTGGAAATTGTCGTCGTTTTTCCCCTTTTTTACTGAATATTCTTCTCAATTATGATAATACATCTCTTTTGAGCACCACATTCTTCGAGTTGAAAAGCATTTTGAACGGAATTATGGCGAAACCATGTAGAAATCAGGCGACCCAACGATGGAGTTGTTTACGATGAGTTCCTATGTGAAAGAATGAAATTAACTCAAACTAGTCATCAACGAAACGGTTATACTTAGGAGTAAGACTTCGTTCCAGTTTTTTTTTTTCGTTTTTGTTTGATTTAATTTTTTAAACGAATGAAGTCGTTCAAGACTGAATTAAATTAATAGATTTAGAAAGCCGTGCCGAAATCAAGTTGATTGTCATTTTATTTCATCGGCGCTGATCAAAAATTTCAAACATTAAAAAGTGCATACCTGAGCTATTCTCAATTTTTTTCATCTCTGACTTCAATTCGCAGAAAGTTTTCAATCACGGTAAAAACGACGATAACAACAAAAGACACTGAATAATACAGTAGGTGAGCGTCGTGATATTTCATTTTGATAAACTTCAACATGAAGCAAGTTAAATTTATTGATGAATTGATTCATGATAAAATTAACAGCGTCTCATTCTTAGAGTTTTCATAGAGGATTAAAGAACTGTATCAAAGGACAGCCCTTTTGCTGTTTTAAGCCTTGCTCAATTTCAAGTATACTGAGCCCTAAAATCTTGGATTCGGCGTTTGCCAACGATTGTGTTTCCTTTCGGGAATTCATAATAAATGAATAAACCGAATAAACTAAAGGAGGGGACCAGGTTATCATGGAAACAAGTTCTGAAATAATTCCAAACAGCATTATCTCGTTTATAAGCGCAAAATTTACGCAAATCCCTGGCGTTTTGATCGTGACGGGAAAACCAGCGTAATGACGTCCTGAACTTGTAGGGGAGAAAGGCAACGCTAACACCGGAAGTCGAAATAGAGTTGTGTCCAGACTATCCGCGCGCTTTCCCGTTCTGAAATGACGTTCCCGTCCTCTTGCTAAATCGTTCTGATGAACTTGAAAGCAACGACTCGAGGAACGTTTTGATTCGATTTCGTTTAAAAATGCGTGGTTTTTTTACAATCATCATTTAAATTGTTTTATTGGCACGAGACTCTCTATCTATCAAGATTTTTTATGTTAAAAACCTTTGCTCCCAGCAACTTCAAAATGTAATGTGAACCGATGAAATGACGTGCTTGATTAACAACAGTACAGGCATAAATAGGGTAAGATTGGCCCATCATATCTCATTATTGGTACGGAGACCTATATTTTTTATTGTAGTTTTCGAAAAATAAATTATCAGGGAACATTTACGGCAAGTCTAAAGTTTAATTCAAAACAGAGCTTGTTTGCATTTTTTAATTGTATCCAGACCTGTTCAGTCGTTCTCTTACGAAGTAAGGTGAAGCGTATCTCTACGACCTTTAATCATTGGTTTCTACCAATATCCTACTCCCTGTATCAGAGGCGCAAATATCAACAGCAGAACTTCCTAGATCTGATTATTGTGACCTCCGACCGCAAACGAAATTAAAGCAACGAGCAATTTACAGAACTCGAACATAAGCAATCGCTTTGCTAAAGAATTCTAGGCTTGTAAAATAAAAAATTTGAATTCGTAGTTCTATAAATTAATACTTAATTTAATAGCACCGTATTTAATTTAATTTTAATTAAAATTTAATAATTTAATAGCACCGTACAAAAACACGTCTCCCCGTTTAATTCAACGTCTACACCTCTAGTAAATAGTTTTAGTAGCACTAAGTCGAGTTGTTGTTGAATTGCTGTGCTGCAATTTCCCAATGAACCTAACTCAAACCTGATTGTGTAATCAAGTCGTTAAAACCGAGCGGATCAATAACATGTTGATGATAACTACTTTTGTGTTTTTGGCCTTTTTCCCGATAGAAACTCGAGTATTGTATCGCTCGACAGCTCTATCTTCGACTGTACGATAAATGATAACGACGGCTATTAAAATGCTCGACGTGATCTCAACGTGGTCGAACGGCGAGAATGACACAGCGTGGCGTGGTCAGAAATAAATTAATAAATAAATAAAATAAGCTATTTTTAATGAAATATCAAAATTTTGTCGATACTCGTTACAAATAACTGTTCAATGAGTACATTACAAAAACAAGAGAATATTTTACCATTCTTAAGACTTTTCGATATTTAGAACTGCTCTTAGCAATCGGTTTAAAAAGTGAGATCTGCAAGACCTTTCAACTGTTTGATGGTTAGTATAGAAGTACTTTTTTGGTGGTTGACGGTAAGGATTTATCCATTTTGACGGTTAAATTTCAGGCTGTCGGCGAATGATGGTTAAACCCCATTGAGTCACCCGGATGTTGCTAGAGGAGGTTACGTAATAACCAATTTTTTTCTAACCTCTGTCAGGAGCGTGGATGAGTACCTTGACAGTCAAGCAAATGAAAATTCGATTTTATCCAATTACTGTGAATGCAGCCATTCTCCCAAACAGTAAATACTATCGAAGGTTTTTAAACAGAACTATCGTCTA